TAGATGTTAACTTTTTCTAGTTGTTTTTGTTGTGAATGTTATATCATTTTACAGCTGAATTGTCAATTCGATAATCTGGCCCTCTGAAGCTAACTGAATAGCCCTGATCTATTGCATCTTCCATATTTTCTCACCAGGCCACTGTTAATTATGGCATTGTGAAGTTCATGCCCATTCAACTCGTAAATACAATCTTTCTGACATGACTTGAATGCATCATTTGTGCTTTGTATCTCTGCAGATCGTTCACATGCTCAAACAGCTATTATATTACACACTAAAGGAAAGGTAAAATAAAAAAAGCATGAATAGGTGGCTTTTAATATTTGTTCAGAGCTTGGTTCTCCAACACTGGCGTTAATTGCATTAACCTGAAGTCAGAGTGTGCAAAGGTGCAACAATCGTGAACGACCGATGTCCCCACTCAGAGATGGAAATGAATGCGTTAGGGCGATCGGGTGTACGACAGCTTTGTTCAATCCGCAGCTACGTGTGTGGGCGGCTGCAGTCGTTTGCCGGTGTTTGATGCGACACAGGCCCGCGGGCACGTTCTCCTGCTCATGTGAGCAGCCCCCATAGCGGGACGATCCACGTGTCCTCGGGGCGAGATTTTTGCATTCACGCTCTCTGGAACATCTGCCACCAGTTTAAGGGGGTGTGAATTTGGACTGTTGACAGGGAGCAAGTTGGGATTAGCGTGAGCAATGCAACTATACATCGAAGACATTGTGATTGGCATAAAAAGACCCGGGCACTGCATGAAACACGAAGCTGTCTGCATAAATCTAATAGAGTCCCTAATGTAGGCCTAGTAGCTCTCACGACGCTGCCAAGATTTCTCATACGCTGAAAACGCTAAGCGACTCCAGTACAACGGGAACAGATTTTCCGCCGTACTGCCCAGATGCACAATGTACGGTTGGTCGACAACTTTCTAGAAACATGCACGCTGGAGTCTAATATGTACAATTCATGCCTAAGGCGCTCGTTTGGCAGCTGTCAATAATTCAGATTTTCCTCTCAAAAGACAGATGCTATTAAAAAATGTCTGGATTTATTATTTGTGACAGAATAATTAAAGATTAAAAGCTGGCCATAGAATCAGAGAACTGCCTTATTATTCCGTTCAAAAGGTCCTGTATAATTGACGAGCTTAAATGAGAAATAAATTCTTCCGACAGTTCTGTTCGGAGGCTAAAATATTGCTAAGTTGGTGCACCGACGTCTTATTGATCTCCAACATGACAAAACATGAAAAAAAAAAAAAAACTTAATGGAGGCTTTGGTGATGAGTTTTCTTTCAGGCAACATGAAACATTTTGCTTCCATAACACATTTACAAGGATTTAACACAAAGAGAAGCTTGATGAGGAACTGATTAGATTGTGAAAAGTGGCAAAGCATTTATTTATTTATTTGTTTATCTATCTTTGGAATAACATATTTCGAAGAGGAATTCAAAATTAACCTGGCAACCCATAGGCTATAAAAGTAAACACTTTGAAATTATTTTGACTAGAAAAGAAGACAACGAATATACATATAGTTGGGATCGGTTTGATTCTTTAATCCTTTTGAAAGAAAATGACCATTTATTTGACCAAAATCAGTAATATTGTGAAATATTATTATAATTGTTTTCTATTTAAATATATTCAAAAATGTATTTTACTCTTGTGATGCAAAGCTGAATTTTCAGCAGCCATTACTCCAGTCTTCAGTGTCACACATACTACAATATTTAGACTTTTTTTGTAACATTGTAAATGTCTTTATTGTCATTTTGATGAATTTAATACCTCCCTGCTGAATAAAATTATAAAGAAAAAAAAAGACCCCAACATTTGAAACAGTAGTGTATATTTAACCATGCAACATCGATAAAGTGACGCACACATGATGGCGGGACATTTTGTCAATCACTTGGTTCCTCTTTCTTTGACAATGTGTCGACAAGTACCGCCCACTTTAAATATGTTCATCAAATATATTCTGATTGGCTGTGATTGTTTCACATCATGCTGCATTTTCAGTGGAAAGACAAACTGCTGCTTGTCACTGCAAACTTGTCGGGTTAAGACACTGAAAAACACCCTTACCGATAAACACAAAAGTCAGCCAGAAGAACAAATCTATGAATTTCTATAAGCACAACTCTGAAACTGTTGATTCTCACCTCTTCATTCTGTTGCAGTTCATGAACCCAAAGTTCTGCTGACCGAATACTAGTCTCTTTGAAAGATGACAAGTTTTGCCATTTCTTTGGATTCAAGTCGAAGAAAAACAGTTCAAACAACGTATTGGAATTATTTGCATAAAGTGTTTGTACAAAAATATACAAGGCACTGTCCTTTTCAGAGTCTTAAAATACAACAGAGTGAAAGTCACTGACCATGTTCTATTTCGAATCTGAAGATGAAAACTCAAATTCTGAGATGAGAGTTTTTTTTTTTTTTTGAAGAGTTGAGAATTTCAAGTCCTGTTTGATGTGATATTTTAAGAAGACCTTCAGTGGTTGGTGTTCTCTTTTCTCTATTCTGTGTCTCTCTTCATACACAGTTACATTTAAACAGAACACTTTCATAATCAAGTAAGACGCCCCACGGCATGCCTCCCTAATTTTACAAGCATTCACAGGAAAACATTTAGTCAAGTTAAAACAGACTTATTAATATAAACTTCTGCAAACTGAGATGGTTTGAAATTGATAAAACACATGAAAGACAGGATATTCAAATTCCTGTTAAGCCAAATACATTTTAGGATGTGTCTTTTCACACTACAGTTTTTGCCGCAAACTCGTGTCTTCTCGGACAGTTCATGTAAGGTTTGAACTGATATGAAAGAAGTTCAAAAATGAATCACAATTCATTATATATACTGTGTTTGCCAATTATAAAATAAAGCATTTCTCATTGCCACTCGTCACTGAAGTTGCCTTTAGAAGCTCACATTCAGTGCATTTTATTGCAATGCATCAGGGGCAAACAGACAGTTTGTCTGTGCATCTAAAGTTTTGGTAGCAAAAAAAAAAAACAAGAATAAAACGGCAAACTGGCATCATCTTCTCACAGTCCCTTGCTACAGTGGTAAACAGCTGCCGCTAGAATTCCCAGCGGTACGTACATTGATGATGAAATCGTAACGCGGTTCAGAACCAAATATTATTACAGTATGACGAGCGACATCTAACTCAGCTACAGACCAAACAATCAAACCAAGAGTCAAAAACAGCCTTAAATGCAATAGCCATGTCATTAAAAAACAAGTGCATGAAACTATTGCTGTGGCATCCAAAAAGTCTGAGACAACTAGTTGTAATGCAAAATGCTTTCATTTTTAAAATATGATTATAAAATAATATATGATTATAATGTATATTATAATAAATAAAATATAATATTGTAATTATATAAAATGTAATATTATAATATATAAAATGTATAATATTTATTATAATAAATAATATGATTATAAAGTATATTATCTGCATAACAATTAGTCAAATGTCAAAAATCCAAAAAAGTTTTGCTTCCACTGAAGCAAGAAAATATGACCATCTGCACAAAAACATGAAACATAAAACCATGTCTGCATTTGTGATCAGAGAAATGACAAATAACAATCCCTACATTTAATACTTAAAAAAAAAAAAAGTGCAGACATATTTCTTTAATGTCATAACTCTTCAATGGAAGTTTGAACGAATATTAAAAAATCGGTTCAAAGCTGCTTCACAATAATAAACAGGAAAATAACAATGTTGGTGTTGTACAATTAATCGATTTTGAAAAAAATAAATCAATTTCAGACATAAAGCAGCTCTACAGAAGACAATAGTTATTCAGTTCAAGTTAGTTTAATGTTGATTTTAATCAACACTTCAATAACATTGTAGATGCGGGCAAAATTAGTGATTTCATATCTCATAATTGTTATTTATCTTACTTTAAACTATTTCACAGATACCCCCTTTTTTACTCTTTTGCATTTGCATTTATATCCAGGTTTACATGAAAACATCTCACATTTTTTAAGCAGGCAGACTTGTGGACGCCACAGTAGACAGTCTCATACATCACAATGGAAACACGGGCTGTCTAACTTCAGGAACTTTAATTTGTGTCCTCATAAATCATATATACCTGTACACACACACACACACACACACAAAAAGCTGCACTTGAAGATTCTGATTAATTGTGTCTCATCTCATTGTTTTATTTCTGTCCTGAACCTTTCACAGGCTAGTCGGAGTACAATAAAGTGTCATTTGTGGTGGCCCACAGCTACAGAACACTATGAACAACAAAAACAATCACAGTTAAAGCTCTGTAGTCTTGAGAGTTTAAAGGGGTCATATGATGCTGCTAAAAAGAACAGCATCATATGACCCCTTTAAGTTTCTACAGTTCATGTAAGGTCACTAAAGCATTTTCCTTTGTTCCTGGATGGTTTGGCATCTTGCTGTGCACAGTCGATGTCGCTTGTTACAAGCAAAAACTAAATAAATACAGTGCGTACATGCATAAAATATGAGGCTCTGATAAATAAGGCTCTGATGTGAGGATTTAAGCTCCAAACATGATCTCAGTTACCCTACAGACTTAAAGTCCAAACCATTTCAGAAGTCTTGATCCTGCTGGGCTGTGCTGATGCCCCTGATGTTCGGCAAAACGACTCAAGAGGCGGTCTGCAAAAAGTCGCTGGATTTTGATTTTAGAAACCTATTAAAGCTAAAGCATTTCTGGCATTGTTGCAGAAACATACACAAATGCACATTTCATTTGTGGCTACTGTGCCTATTCAATTACAGGAACTGCAAGTCTCAGAAATGAAAAGAAAGAACAGTTCCCCTCAATTTCCGTTTTTTTTTTCTTCCTCACTAAAAGGGTTCTTTTCACAGCGGCACTTGTATGTTCTGTACAATAGCAGCGCATGGTCTACTATTAATAAGCCTTGACGTTTATTTGCGGTCAGGTTGAAAGTGTATTTCTTACCGAACTCTCCTGGCACGGAGATCTCATACACACAGGACTGGCCCGTGGTGTAGATGTGAGGGTAGTTTGGGGACAAAATCGTGCCCTCTGAACCCGTCGACCGGCTTCCACATGGAGCTGGAAGAAACAAATGAAAGTTCAGTTTGAATGCATGTATATATCTAAAACACAACCAAATGTTCGGCTATATGCAATTAACAAGACTTTAAAGGTAGATTCAATCATTTATTGCTTGTTTTACAGACCAATTTTATCATGTGGATCAGTCAACTTTCTTTCTTGATCTGAAGCATTTTAAAACTCAAACTATTAGCCAGACTCTTTTAAAAACACAACATTTATGGTGCAAAAACACAAAAAACAAAGGCAAAGATGATGTATATATATACACACACACACACACACACACACACACATACATAATAAATAAGGTTTCCATTGATGTATGGTTTGTTATGATTGGACAATATTTGGCCGAGATACAACTATTTGAAAATCTGGAATCTGAGGGTGCAAAAAAAATCAAAATATTGAGAAAATCGCCTTTACAGTTGTCCAAATGAAGTCCTTAGCAATGCATATTACTAATCAAAAATTAAGTTTTAATCTATTTACAGTAGGACATTTAACAAAAATCTTCATGGAACATGATCTTTACTTAATATCCAAATGATTTTTGGCATAAAAGAAAAATCGATAATTTTGACCCATACAATGTATTTTTGGCTATTGCTACAAATATACCCCAGCGACTTAAGACTGCTTTTGTGCTCCAGGGTCACATACATATAATTACACTAAATATTAGATTAATTAGATTAAATACTTAAAAAAAAAAGAAATTGTTGCCCAGAAGTTGAAGCACTTAAATTGCTATAAAGAAAAATAAAGGCTAAACAGAAATATATAAAAAAAAAAAAAAAAGAAAGAAAGCACATAAAATAACTAAAACTAAAATTAAAAACTGAAAATATAAAATTCAAAATATTAATACATACTAATAGTATACAAATAATACAAAAATAACACTTGTGATGCATTTTTTCCTGAAACTGTTTAAATAGTATACATGTATGTTGTCAACAATTATTTATTGATTTAATTATTTTGTCGTACACATACTGTGCAACAATTTTAGAAAAATGTTCGTTTATGAATTTATGCTGATCAAGTGTCCTATATGTAGTTACATTATAGCTGAATTATATTACAAATTACAAACCCTTACAAAACATTATTTATTGTAAAACTGCCTTGTAAATAAATATTGATGTTAATACAAAATATACTTTACATCTGACAGTTAATTTAAAAACATGTGGCATAAATAAAATGCTCATTTTTGCCTCAGGGCCAAAACTATTTTTTTGTAGTTTTATCTCCCACTGTAAGGAGGAGCCACAGTTATGCCAAAGGCACCGATGGGAGACTCCATCTCATGCAGGCCTACATTTTTCTTAAAAAAATTGTCAAAAATAACAAGTATACAAATAAAATAAAGTAAAACTTTTGCTTTGTGGAAAGTGGAAAAAATGAGTCCACCTTTAACTGAAAGTTCAATTGAGAAGGAACTTTTATAGTTGAACCATTTTAACAAAGGCAACATACAGTAAGGTGTAAATCTATATAATATGGCACGATATGACAGCTGCGGCGGGAGCGCTAGAGTTATAGCGAGCATTGTTAACAGCGCTCAGTCATTCATCAACCAGCTAGAACAGAATTATAGGCCTGACAATAATACTTTTCCATCTCATACTCTAAAATACAACCTATAGAGTCTTTTTAAGATACAGTCTTTATTCCGCCATCGATTAGAAGGCCGTTTGAATTATTTCTTCACAATAAGCCATACAATTTAGCATAATGCAAGAGAGATGGGCAAAAATAATGGCAAAAGCGAGATAAAAAGTGATTAGGATCTAATGGAGCAGGCAGAAGCTTTCATCCAGTCATACGACTTTGCAAAATATAAATCTTTCTTTCGAGTGACATTTATATTCTTTGACTTGCACAAGTGGGAAAACTGCTGCCCCGTTTGCATTATTTGATGTGAAATTCAAAGTCTCAGTGCGGGTTTATTATTGCTGATCCCACAATATTCTGTGGTGAAATATTAATTTCAGAGGATTAGCAAACAAGACACAGTGACAGAATCAATACATCAGAGCACTAAAATCATTCACTCCTGAGTCCAAGAACATCATCATTTGTGACTCATGTTATAATTGTTCATCTCTGCAGATGATTGTTCATGTCAATTTAAACATCTCCCAGTGCTGGAGTTACACAAATCTATAAATGTAGGCTGCGTCTCAAAGGAAGAAGTACACAGATGCGGTATACAACTCATACAATGACTTTCAAAGGGTGCTGATTTCTTTCCAAAAGTGCCTATATAATTAAGATCCACCTTTTCACACTGAAGACAACTGAGGGATTCATACACAACTGTTACCAAAGCTTCAAACATTCACTGATGCTCAAGGAGGCAACATGATGCATTAAGATCTGGGCGTGAATACATTTGAGAAGGATGATGAGGTGTAAATTTTGCTTAACCATCTTATTATTGCATTCAGTACTGCCCTTCAGAAGCTGCAGAAATTATTTAAATGTTTCCCAGAACACAAAACAAGTACAATTTACCTTGATCATTCAGTTCCAAAAGTTTTCCGAAAGCTCGTATAGTGGTGCACGTGTCTCTCAATTGTCCTCAGTGTGAAAACATGGATGTCAGAATCATACAGTCACTCTTGGAAAGGGGTCAAATATGATGAAGATGCTAGAAAAACAAATAATGTGCAGGACCTGGAGGATTTTTCACAAGAACAGTGGGCAGCTGAACTGCTCGGGACAAACAGCTTTCACAAAACAAAGAAACAGTCATTGATCATCCAGCTAAAGACACACATTAAGAATCAAGTGTTCATAAACTTTTGAACAGGGCCATTTGTGTAAATTCAACTAATTATTTTGTCTAGTGGACTATATGCATACATAACATCTGTTTATTCAGAGAAGTACTGAACGAGAAAAAAAAAACAATGTGTTTTTTATTTAGTCTAATTTTGTTAAAATTCTTAACATTTTGCAGAGATATACACTCACACATACTGTACATACACACACAGCATATATGATATCTGCTCTAACTTGAACTGAAACTCTGTAATTTCAGTTGTATACTGTATCTCTCAATATTTACAATAGCCAATTAAAATCCAAATATCTAATGCAATAAGTAAAATATTGTAAATATAGACAGTTATCAAATTATCAAGGCATGTTTTAAACTTTTTATAACTAAATGAACAAAGAATATTTTATTATTTTCATTTATATACAGCGATCAGTGTTATTTTAGCATCTTTGAGTTTCAGTTCATTTTAGTGACGCGTTTCTAAATGAAGATCACGGAGACCAAGGCGGCAGACAGCGCACCGTTTGTTTTCTTTATTTTACAAAAGCACACAGTTTTGTTGTTATTATGTGTGTACACAAATAAAAGTAAACCCTTTACAGATTTGATTGATGTATTGCTCTTATCTGTACGATCAAAACTGACGGAGTAATTTAAGTTCCTTTAGGGGCTTTCAAAAAAAATGCAACAAAACGCGCCGGCACGTTTGTCGACCCCAGAGGGTTAATAAACAGCAATATTTTCACTACAATAAATATTTATTTACTGTATTTACTAAAATATTACAATACATGAAAATGCAACAACGCTTTTGTAAGTAAATTGTTGAATTGATTCAAAGAAATGAATCTTTAACACTGTGCTATTAAAACACGAGAGAAGAAAAGATAGTAAAACTAGTCTGATAATCACACGCACTTCTGGAAACTTAATGGCCAAATAAAAAGCACTTTAACAATGTTGTCAAATCACTGTGACTATATTGTAAAGATCCAATAAATCGCACAGCCCTGCTATAGACCTATATAAAGCCAGATTATAAGTATATTATTTCTGACTTCCTTTGTGAGGGATCAATCCTCTCCAACTCCCCCATAATTCACACTCTCCACACATGCACATATACACCGTGTCCCTGCCGTCTCCAGAGGCACAGGTAAGCCGCAGTGCATAATCCAGCATCTCTTCACACCCCTGAGCTGGTCTAACAGTGTGTAAGAGACAGCCGTCAGATGCCCTGTCAAGTCCTTGTGGGCTTGTGTGCACAGGGTGACACAGTTCATACACGAGACCCCAGCACAAACACATCCATTATTGATCAATGCTTTGCAGGCGGAAGAGCACAAGCCTGACACGACACCTATGAAGAGACTGGCAGGAATGAAGAGTGTTATGACCGGTATCTCATCCTCCATGACAAACACAGAGAGCAGAGTAATTGGCAGGAGATGATCTGGACAGAGACTAGCATTTGAGTTGTAAAAACATAAAAATGTGTAACTAGTGTCGAGGCACAGCTAACTGTAGGATAGTTTTACTTCTACATCTGTAATCTGACAAATTTGAATGTGTAATAGGATATTCAGTGAGAAAATGTTATTGAGAATCAGTTGAATAATAAAAATTGAGAGTTAGACTATACTGGAAATAAATTACTTTTTTTATAAGGTTTTTGAAAGAAGTCTCTCCTGCTCACCGAGGCTGCATTTATTTGATCAAAAATACAATAAAACAGTAATATTATGAAATAATATAACATTTTAAAAGACCTGCTTTCGATTTGAATATCTTTTAAAATATGAAATAATATAACATTTTAAAAGACCTGCTTTCAATTTGAATATCTTTTCAAATGTAATTTATTCCTGTGATGCAAAGCTGAATTTTTAACATCATTACTCCAGTTTTCAGTGTCACATGATCCTTCAAAAATCATTTTAATATGCTGGCTTGCTGTTAAAAAATTACATGAAAATTACATGCCAAATACTATTGGTGTTCAATTATCAATAAGGTTTGTTATTATTAAGGTTATTATTATTTTTTTATTAAGGTTTTTTATAGTGTTGAAAAATGTTTTTTCTGCTTAATATTTTTGTGAATGTATTTTTTAGGAATCTTTGATGAAAAAAAATCAAAAGAACAGCATTTATTTCAAATATAAATCTTTTGTAACATTATAAATGTCTTTACAGTCACTTTTGATCAATTTAATGCAGCTTTGCAGAAAAAAAAGTATTAATTTAGATCAATACTAATAGAAAATAACAATAACAGAAATAATTCTTTAAAAACTTCTTTTAAAAAATCACTTCATTTGAAAAATAAAAAATATTTTTAACATATTAAAATAGAAAACAATTCTTTTAAATTGTAATATTTCACAATACTACTGCATTTTTTATCAAATAAATGCAGCCTTGGTAAGCATATGAGACTTTTAAAAGCATTAAATAATCTTGATTTTGTTTTGGGGGTGTACTAGAACAGGATCTCGTACTAGGTTGTTCGAAAAACAAATTTTTCACATATTTTACATTATTACAACACCTCTCTCCCCAGTCTGGCATGAACGGCTCAAATAGTTCCTGTATCAAATGAAGGCCCGCCTTCTGAAATACGAAATGTGCTGTGATTGGTTAGCTGGGCCAGTGTGTGTTGTGATTGGCACCACTCGGCATCATGCCCCTTAAACCGCCTGCGAGCTTCAGTGTAAATATTGCGTCAATATCAAATCAATTTGAGCGCGATTTAAACCCGGATGATTGTAACCACTCTAAGTTCGTCTGCCTTGGGAAAGCTAGCGTGTCTCCGACATAGTGATAACACTCGTTGCCTTCTCTAGTGCAGCTCAATCAGGTCTCGTCCCATTTGTCGATATTTGTGACATCACAAATCCCGGAAAATATACGTTGTAGTCCAAACGAGTTGTTCGTTGTAGTTTTTGAAAAGTGATTTCTGTTAAAGGTTGGGAAAGCGATTTCTGGTAGCCAATGTTGACATTTGAAATAACCAAAACAAACACGCCCCTACCCCAAAAGGGTCTCTCCCCAATTTTAATAGCTCCGCCCCACACATACGTGCGCAACCCAGGCAACGATTAGTTCTCCACACATACGTACGCAACCCAGGCAACGATTAGTTCTGTGAAACAAAGCAAAACCAATGTTACAACGTGTCTAAACCGGACGCGAGTGGTGCGGCGCAACAAAATACTATGGAACTCATTATAATCAGTGATGCTGTCTACACCATAGATATATATACATATCTATGGTCTACACTGGATGCGGCGTGGCACGACACGACAAATCCCTGACAGAAAACATTTTCCTCTTTTGTTTTTTATCCGCCATCTCTATCTTTCTGTCACTCGGCTCGGCTAATGTCCGTCCTGTGCACTGAACTCTCTCTCCTCCACATCATGAGTAGACACGCCCCTTACTGCTGATTCTACAAGTTTGTTTTGCTATTCAGCCAGAATCAGTTTTCTAAAGCGTTTTTTTTTAAATCGCTTACCCCACCTTTAAATAAAATATCTCCTTTTGAAGTGGACTTTGAACTTTGTAACTTTACAGATCTTTTTTACGATCAGCAAACAGCAACATTACAGACTAACTAAAGTTGAAAAAGCGAAAAAGCATAATAGGACCCCTTTAAAACAGTAACCAGAGTAAATATTGATGAAACTGTCCACTGAGATCTGAATCCACTCAACATGCATCTTGTCTGATTAGTCAGCAACTAGTTAGCCACACAGCTCACGCTAAAGAAAAACTTTCTTCAGTCTGTCTTCAGTCTAACCCTCCCAAGGCATAGCAAGAAACATCACAAAATATCAAAATATGCTGAATATAAAGTCTTTCCATAATATTTCCGCTGTCTCCTAGGAGATCTGGGGAGCGATGCTTTATATCAGCAGCTCTATGAAGATAATTTGCAAAATAGCGCAGAACAATGAGCCATTACTAAATCATTGTGAGTTGTTACCCGCTGCAGTGTAACAAAAAACCATCACTTTTGTTCCAGCGGACGGGCGGCTCATTCCACATGATGCATTTCCAACACAATCTCATTCAAAGAGGGTTAAGCAAGGCCACACATGCATGCATGCATGCAGAAAAAAACCCCTCTGAAATCAATAGACCAGCCTTTGGTCCAGATCTGTGCAGTATCAACTCAAGGCTGTGTCCGACGCCTCATGCACAAACATGTGAAAACTTCTGTGCCATTTCTTTGTCATTCATTTCTCTACCATCCCCTTGTGTCCTCTATAAAATACAAGGATACAAAGACCTCTCTGTAAACTACATGTCTGTTTGCACAGAGAACAAATACTGGTCTCAAAGACCATACTCACAAATAATAATCTGACAATGTGCATTATCATGCAAACATCTTAAATAGTAATATCTCATCTAAAAAATGTCATAAATTTAAGATAAACCCTACATGACATGCCTTGATTTTTGACTCTTCCTCCCATCCAGTCACTTGACTTCAGTATATAGTATGTAATGCCAATTTTTCACAATCCAATCAGTGATATTTTAGTATTATTAATATATTATTATAGGATTTGTTATTTTGAATTTGCTTTTATTTGTATAGTTTCAGTTTTTAATTGTATGTGATTTTTTTTTCATTTTTATTAATTTTCTTTTTGTATATTTCTATATAACTTTTAATTTGAGCAATTTTAGTACTTCAACTTATTTCAATTAGTTGCTAAGGCAAGATTTCTTTTTCATTTATATTTTTTCTTTTTTTCTTTTAATATTTATCATTTATTTCAGCCTTATTTCAATTATTGAAAACAATTTTTATTAGTTTTATAGTTAAAATTACATTAAAATTAAATTTTGTAGCTAAAATTAAATTAAATTAAAACCACTGGATCCAATCAATTGTCAAAATCATTCTAAAATCAGGAAATATAACAAGAAAACCCTTAAACAATATAATATTACCTGTGAAACCTTGTAAATGATTAACAAACCCAATGAATACATCTACCTTGAAATTTAAGCATGTTACCTCAATTTAGTTCTACATGCAAATGCTCTGTGTGTGTGTGTGTGTGTGTTAGGGTTGGGCGATGCGATCTATAATAGAGATTTATTATATATAGATCAGTCTATAGAACTCATTATAATCAGAGATGTTGTCTATACTGAATGCGCCATGACACGACAAATCCCCGACAGTAAACTGCTGCTGCGTTCTGTTTATGACGTGCTGACACAAATTTCAAATGATTTTCAACGGTCGCTTTGTCGTGTCCAGTCAGTGTTGCCAAGTCCGCGGTTTTCCCGCGGAATTGGGCTACATTTACACTGTTGCCGCGGGATGTTTTTCATGTCCGCGGGTTGAAGCAACCCCAAAAACGTGATATTTATCCCCTGGAATGCGACTTTTACCGTGGGAACCCCACCAAAAAATGGTGTTTATTTTTACCGGGGGATCGCCTCTGAAAAGCTATTGGGCTAGTTTTGGACTAGTTTTGAGTAGCAATTGGGCGGGTTTTGCTGTGAAAACCTGGCAACACTGCGTCCAGTGTAGACAGACTTTAGCTGATGCGGCGCGGCGTGACACGACAACTGTTGCGTCCGGTGTAGACACGGTGTAACGGTTGCCTGTTACATTATAGTACATAAAATTTCACTTACCACATAAACAGAGTAAGGAGAGATGACTGAGGACGATGGCGAATGATTTGCAGATCCTCAGTACCACTGAAACATATAATCTTGTAAAATGTCTGGTAAGTACAGCCGCTCCATAGTATAAACAGAGTATGTGCGATTGCGAATCTCGAAAGTGAAAGTGAAACTAAAAGCGATCATGCATTCAAAAGCACGATGCCAGTTTCAATGCCAGGTATAATAGCGGCTCCCTGATGCCGAAATATATATGTAGTATAATTACCCAATTATATAACTGCGAGGAAAAATATTGAAATATATATTTTCCTCCCATCTCGTATTTATTCCCTTTAGGGGTTCCACCTACACGTCATTTTTTCCGAACACGGTATTGGGATGTGGGGGGAGTCACGATGCCGGCTCAACATCGTGATGTCTATTCAGCCATCGGCGATGGACGATGGCATCGTCTATCGGCCCAACCCTAATGTGTATGTGTGTGTGTGTTTTCAATGTTTATTCAATGTGCGCATTTCGTCTTACATTTTAAATCAACATGAAATCAAAATGGTCCCGATTTAACATAATATACATCACTGGTGTTATTAAGAATGATTCATTAGTGCACATTATTCCACATAAAAAAATTTTTTTTTCATATTCTTTCATCAAAATGTATCGACTAGCTCCGCCCCTGAAATAACTTATCAAATAAACAAAATCAAACTCCTTTCTACATACAGAAATATTTCAGATTACTCAACTTCACCATAAAGAAAAATTTTACCTTCTTGTTTCTGTGGGTTTATTGAGTTGCTTCTAAACTCATAAACCAGACTCTTATAATGAGGTGATTTTTGATCGTTATTATCAGGGTTTTGTTGACACTCATTGAAAGTTCACATGCACACCTTACTGTGATTACACCTAATCAGCCGACGTGTAAGGTCACATAAATGCTTTAAATGATGCTCGTTTATTAGCGAAAGGTCATCACACATCGATTTTGCCCTTTTCTGACATCTTATTCACGGTCTAACAAGTGGCAGTTTTCTAGTATGTGGTTTATTTATTTGCAAAACGTATTTTTCAAATGATCATTTTCAAAAGTTATGGAGTACATGTAAACACCCTCATGTTGATCTGTAGAATTCTGACTATCATTCACAAGGAAAAAAAAAAAAGGATAAAACATGCAAACAGACATATCCCACACAGCTCCAAAAATAGATGCAGTTATTTGGGTCGTAAGGGGATGTTCTTCTTATATTCACACACAATACAGATGGGAACGTGAGCGTACCTTGGCAGCTGGGCAGAGCTCTGTTCCACTTGGGTCTGTTGGTGCCGCCCATGACACAGGTGAGACTGGAATAACCCTGGAGCTGGTAGCCTGGATCACAGTGGAAGGTCACAGTGGAGCCCAGCTTATAGTCTCCACCCAACCGAGTGCCATTCATCACGCTGCCCGGGTCAAAACAAGCCTCACGCAGTTTAGCTATACGGAAGAGGAACACAAGACATATGGCGTATGATAAAGCTGTAGAAGATGAAAAGATCTGAAGGGATAAAAACGCCAAGCGGTGAGTCACTGTCAACCTTTGAAACTTTCCAGTTTGCGCTCAAGCATCTTGAAACTGTATATCATGACAGTCCTAAAGGAGCCGTTTACCAAAATATGAACACACTGTCATCATTTACTCGCCCTCAGTCGATAAAAATCAATAAGTGCATCGCTCAAGGGGACAAATCCAGTTCGAGAACAGCCCCTTTCGGGCTCTTTGACCACCAGGCCGAAACAAAAGAGCAATTACCTTTGTATTCCAAATGGAAGCCCGTGTAGCTCACGGATCCATCGCTGCGGAAGGCAATGTGCATGATGTTGGAGCTGCTTTCGACCTTTTCAGGCAACTTGCTGTCTTGAAATGTGCCGATCAGATGACTGTTGCTGTGAGGTCCATCATAGATGTACAAGAAGTCATAGTTGGGCTCAATGCTAAAACTGAGACAAGACAAACACAGTATAGGATCAAAACACAGTGCAAATTGCGATCGATCGACTTTTTTTCTACGCAATTTACTCCTCCTGAAAGATTAGTTCAACCACAAATGAAAATACTGTCAGCATGTCATTGCAAATCATTGCACACAAAAGGGATGATAAAAAAGGTATCGAAAAGTGAGATTTTAGAAAACTATAGGAGGAGGAATACAGCACAGTCATTTAAACCTTTTTGATGGTAGATATGGTGTTTTCATGCACATTATTGTACATTATTTTTGCTTCTGTACATCTTTATGTACAGAAGGAAAAACTGAATTGAGCTTGTGATGTCAAGATGGAAGCTTGTTAAATTGTCATGTTTTACAGCAATCACTATTAGCATTTCTACACTGCAAAAAATGACTTTATTTATTAGTATTTTTGTCTTGATTTCCAGTACAAATATCTAAAGATTCTTAAATCAAGACACATTTACTTGATAAGGAAAATGACTTAAGAGATTAAGTCGTCTTCTTTCAAATGTATTAAAATCGAGTGGGATTATTCTTAAAACAAGAAAAAAAACAAGACTTTTTTTTTATCCCATGGGCAGACATTTTTTTCTTATTATATAAGCACAAATTCACTTCATTCTAATACAATTTTCAGAATAACAACACTTAAAATCTTGTCATTTTTCTTCTTCTTTTTAACCTTTTAAATCTTCATATACACTTTATACACAAATTCATATACACAACTTATTCTCTCTTTCTTTTTCTCTTGTTTTCCAGTACAAATATCTAAACTTTCTTAATATTTTTTTTTTTGTGCACAGATCACAGTCTGATACCATACTCTAATTTACAGTCTAAGATGGAACCAGCTATGGGTCAGTGACGTGACGACATTTTTTTGTCACAAATTCACTTCATTCTAATACAATTTTCAGAATAACAACACTTAAAATCTTGTCATTTTTCTTCTTCTTTTTAACCTTTTAAATCTTCATATACACTTTATACACAAATTCATATACACAACTTATTCTCTCTTTCTTTTTCTCTTGTTTTCCAGTACAAATATCTAAACTTTCTTAAATGAAGATACATTTACTTGAGAAGCAAAATGTCTTGAGCCATTACGTCTTGTTTTCTGAAAAATATGTCAAAATGAAGCAAATTTATGCTTAAAACAAGAAGAAAAAAATCTGAAAATAAGAAAATTAAAAATTTTAAGCATAAACTCATTTCATTATATAATTTTCAGAAAACAAGACTTATCTTATAAGTCATTTCGTTATTCTACAGTAAATATATCTTGATTTAAGAATGTGTAGTTAAAATAAGTTTTAATTTTGCAGTGTAGAAATGCAAATTGCTTATAAAGTATGAAGGCTGCAAAACAGGAAAGAGAAAATAAGCAGCATCCTATTATAAACATGAAAATTCATCAAGTGCTTATTGACAACATCACAAGCTCCATCCAGTTTTCACTGTGTGCCTGGCTGAAGATGTTAAAATCTGTGCCTGTGATCTTCCTAAAAGACCTTTTGGGTCATCTGAGGCAGAAAATGTTTTGAAGAGCCTTTTCTGAATATGTTTCAGGTGGGGGAAATGTTATGAAGTGGAAACATCCGATGTGGGTGGAAAATGCACATAAATGGCACAGTGATGCTTTGGGAAAATGTAGTCAGAAAAGGCTTCACTTCACATTAAGTACTGTATTGAGAGCAGACGGCTGTATTAATGTCATTAAGAAGATTTGTTTATTGTCCCAGGTCTGCAACAGTAATGCATATTATGCATTAATATATATATACATATAATATGCCATTCATTTGAGACAAATTTGTAAATACTGTAATAACGTCACTTCAAATAATGAATCGCAGGCCTCTCAGAGAATATCTATCTTGAGAGATCTTTTTCCAATTACTACACTGATTGTAAAACTCACAGTCTGATACCATACTCTAATTTACAGTCTAAGATGGAACCAGCTATGGGTCAGTGACGTGACACTCATTTTATATGTTCAGATGTAATAATTTATTCAGAGAAACATTAAAAATGCACATCATGCTGGCAACAACTTGAAAACATCTCCTCTATGATTAACCTTTTCAAAAATTCAGTTTGATATTTTTTGTGGGACAAAGTCAAAATGTCTAGGTAGTTTATCCATCTTGAGAAAAATTTAAAAAATGCCTAATGAAGAAATATAAAAAAAAAAGTCATTAAAAGGCTGAGACACTTAGGGGGGGGAAATTTTAAGTAGGCTGGAATAATCTCGTCTTTTTAAGCAGTGAAATAAGCACTTGAAATGAAATAAGGCAACATTTCTATTTTTCATGTAGTTTAAATTGATATATTAAAATAACTAAAACTCAAATAAAAATGAATAAAAACATACAGCTATACATAGAATAAGGAACAAGAACTATTAAAAATGACAAAAACACAAAACAAATGCACTAAAATTAAAATTAAAACTAACAAAATAAAATTAAAATATATAAATAAAAAAAATAAAATGTATTCAAAATATCATTAAAACCTATAATAGTATCTCGGTGATGGTTACACCACTTTTTAGAGTCATTAAAAAGTTTCTTCTTTTTTTTGGACAACAAAAATGTATCTAGTCCTTTAAGTTGATGATCATACCTGATAAATGCCAAGGAAATGACGTAATCAGGGTGAACCGTGATGAACCAATCGCAGTCCTTGCTGTGTGGGTACGGATGGGGGAAATTTGGTGACAGAATGAATCCAGATGAGCCTGTAATGTTTCCACCACAAGGAGCTGGAAGAGATTATAAAGTACATACATTTTTTCCCACCCATAGTGAGCAAGCGCTGCTGTTTGATTTCAAAACGGCTAGATATCATATGAGTAAATTACCATCTTGGCTAATAAATCATTCGATAACTAGCTATGAGTCAAATTCAAATCACCCCATTAATATTCATGAGCAAAGCTGATAGGTTCCTGCCCCCCACCGTTCAAATTGTTCTAAACCTCCAGCTCTGCCTTTAAACCAGACTGACCATTAAAATGTCTAAATGTGACTCAAACTTAAAGGCAGTTGAAATAAAATAGGTTTCACAGACTCCCGCTATCCAGAAAATAAATGCAGTTTCCTAGAAGCATTTTTTATGGGAAGTCTTCACCCCAGTTTCCCACAACCCAGAAGTTTGAGCGCTGTGATCAGAACTTTCCATCAAAGAGATTTATTATTTCAGGCCTTTTATAAAGGGTGATTCAAGTCACTTCTGATAGTTATTTTAGATATTTCGTCAGAGCTGACAAGTGTGAAATGAGAGGCCGCCTGTATTTCACAGGCCTCAGGCGGCATCGCTGCAAATTGAATAAATCTCACCGATACATGTAGGAGGGCTGGGCTGCCAGAAGAATCTGTTGTCCACCTGAATGCAGGTGATCCTGGGCTCTCCTTGCAGGTCGTAGCCCGGATCACACGCGAAGGTCACCGTGTCGCCGGGCTCTTTGCCCTCTCCGCTGCGGCTGCCGTTCATGGGCGTCCCCGGGTCCCTGCAGGCAGTCGCCACTGAACCTGCAAAATGGGAACGGTGACCAGCTGTGCTCACTTTTCACTTACCAGGATGTCTCCACAGGAGCTAGCATTTCCCGCTCGGAAATGAGGTTGCGTGGCCTCGGTAGCAAACAATGGCTCACTGGGGGCTCTGCTAAGCAGAACACGGTCTAATACAGGTGTGGAATAAGTCTGAGCTACAGTACAGCAGTCCTGCTTGACTGCAAAATCACTCGCTAAAGGATGCAGGGTTTTTTAGTCTCTTTATGTACTTACTTTGAAAAGGCTTTTACTTTCTTCAGGCAGAGGAACCATTATTTTGGCCAAGCTTCCTTTTTTAGGCAATTAAATTCAAAGTGTTTTATGCAAAAAGTAAAATGTAATAAAAACAATCCATGCATGTTTGCTACACCGTTTTTTTTTTTTTTTTTACTAAATGAACTTAAGGAACATACACTACCATTCAAAAGTTTGGGAGTGTTTCTATTTTGACAGAAATTAATTATTTCATTCAGCAAGGATGCATTAATTTAATCAAAAGTGACAGTAAATGTATGTATAATGATACTGTTCTCAAGAGTGATAATAATAAGAAATATTTCTTGAGCAGCAAATCAGCATATTTCTGAAGGACCATGTGACACTGAAGACTGGAGTAATGATGCTGACAATTCAGCTTTGATCACAGGAATAAATTACATTTTAAAATATATTCAAATAGATATTTTTAATTGTGAAAACATTTCACAATATTACTGTATTTTTGATCAAATAAATGCAACCATAGTCAGCATAAGAGACTTCTTTCAAAAACATAAAAAAATCTCATTCCACCCCAAAAATTTTTTAATGGTATAATTAATTATTTTTATTCATATGCACCAATATAACCTCACACATTTATGTTCATACAGTATGTTATTTTAATTTAAACTATTTTAAACTATTAAACTATTTTTATATATGAAAACCAGTGAAAACAAATCAAATCAAAGTTTTGAATCGATTCATTGAAATTAAGGGTTTGGAATGATTCATAAAAGATGAATCAATCACATGCGACTATAATCATGACACACCATTATAAAATTAATAGTTTAGAACATGATATAAAATTTTAGTCATGCTATGCACCCCTACTAAAATGTTTCACTGTTTATCAGCGTTAAGGCTTCATTAGGCTGAACTTTTTTTTTACTTGATACTAGAACGGTGTACTGTGAAACTCTCTGGTTTTAAAGAAAAGTACTTACTTGAGAAATCAATGGCAAATCCAGATTTGCTAATGTAGAAGTCCGTCTCAAACTGGATGGTGACCACGTTAAGAGTGCTGTGAACGCCGTCGGGTAACAGTGAACCACTCACTTCCTTCAGGGCCATCTCGTTTTCCGGATGCCCGTCCCAAACCTTCAGGATATCATGTGATGCCTCCGTGTCAAATGCCAAGAACTGCAGACTAAAAAAAAATAATAATACAGCCTGATTCACACTCACTTACATAGATTGAAATCCCCACACTTAATCTAATCAAATAAATAATTAGGTAACACTTCATAATAAGATTCCGTTGGTTAACATTTGTTAAAGGGATAGTTCACCCAAAAATGAAAATTCTGCCATCATTTACTCACCCTCAAGTTGTTACAAACCTGTATGAGTCTCTTTCTTCTGATGAACATAAAAGAAATTTGGTAACCAAACTGGTCCCCACTGACTTCCATACAATTTATTTATTTATTTTCCCCCATACTATGGAAATCAGTGGGGACCAGCAACTGTTTGGTTACCAACATTCTTTAAAATATATTCTTTTATGTTCAACAGAAGAAAGAAATTCATAATTTTCATTCTTGGGTGAACTATCCCTTTAACATGAACTAACTAAGAAACCGAGGCAGACAGTAGTGAAGTATTTTTACTCTGCTGTAAAAGTACTTTTCAAGTGTCTGTAAGTTATAAGTGTTTTTATTTAGAAAACTTTTACTTCAGAACATTCCAAAGTATAATATTGTACTTTTTTACTGCACTACGTTTCATATTAAATATCATTTAATACGTAATTACATTAGAAATCTAGTACTTTCTTACTTTTACTCAAGTAAACGTAATTCAAAGTCTTACTTGAGTACAAGAAAGCACTACATTTTCTTAAGTATTAAAGGTAATAAAAAAAATAAATTAATAAAAAAAAAACTTTTTTATTTATGAAATGTAGTGCAGTAAAAAGTATGGCATTATGCTTTGGAATGTAATGAAGTAAAAGTTTTATAAAGAAAACCCACTCTGATAAAGTACAGATACTTTTTCAATTTACTTGAGTAAAGTAAAAATACTTCACTACTGTCCACCTCTGCTAAGAAAATACTTCTAAAGCACATAAATACATTATAAAAATCACAAGTTGTATCTGTTAAAGGTAAACTGTGTAATTTTTGGCTATACTAACATCACCAAATCAACAGATAATTTAATAAGAAATATATTCCAAGTGTTTCTTCATATTTTAATTAAAGAATATTTCTATTTTAGTATTTATTAATATGTTGAAATAGCTTCATTTTTATTTTATTTTCAGTTTCAATTCTAAGTTTTAGTAATTTTGTTATGAGTTTTTGCATTTTTTAATTCATTTTTTATATTTATATTTAGGATTAATTTATTTTTATTTCTTTTATTTTTAGTAATTTTAGAACTTCAAATTAAACTTTAAATTTTATTTAGTTGTCGAGGCAACATTTCTGATGCCGTCTACAAAACTGAAAAAAAAAAACATCATAAAAGTACCATAAAAGGAACTCAAATGACTGTTTGAAAAATGTTATTATTCTGCTGATTTGTTGTTGCTAGTATGGCAAAAAATTACACACTTTACTGGACCTGAGTTTACATGACCTAACAACTAACAGTTGTATTTGTATTTACTAACGTATTAACTAGAGCCCGACCGATATATCGTTTTGCCGATATTATCGGCCGATATGAGCCTGTCGCCGATATATCGGTATCGGCAAATATGCCGCCGATATGATTTTTTTTTTACAGAACATATAACGCAGATAAAATGCTTGAAATGGTGTAATTACTTAGTTTGTCCAGCAGAGCGCGCTCCATTGTTTGCTACTGGCGACCTGGATGAAACGCTTTAAAGCTTAAGTCTATGGAAAACCATTGAAACTTTGAACAGCCATATCTCCATAACGACGCGGCGAATCCGCACCAAATTCGGGATATCCCTTCATCTCGAGGAACCCTCGATGGATCAGCCGGAGCAACACTCATCTCATGAGCAAACAGGCTTCCTTGTGACAAAGAACCTACTGATATTACAATGGTCATATAATGAATGCAGAGACGGCTCAGATAGGCAATCAAGAAATAGAAAGCCAGCCCCTGGAGATTATGATGTCTGATATCATTTCAATGGTCTCTTTAGAGCTGGAGTGTGTCTCTCTTTTTTAAATACTTTCATATATTCAAGTTCAATTTGCAGAGACAACGAAGTAAACCATTCGTAGGTTGATTCACCTGAAAAGTGTAAACAGTGATTCTGTGGGGATATCAAAACATTGGTCTTTTTACTTGAGCACCACAAGCGTAGAGCAACACTTTGAATCAACCAATCATGTGAGTTTGGGGCGAGACTAAGCGTTTGTTCAACCTATGGCAGAGTGGGTGGAGAGTTTGGGAAACCTGTTTGAAAACAGTCAATATTTTTTGCAATTCTTCTGAAATTAATTTGTCTTACTGCATGATTATTTAAATAAACTGTGAAAATATGAAACCAGTTAATAGCACCTAAAAATATACGTTTTCTTATATGCATAATGTTTTCATATTAATGCTCTGAACTTAAAAAATACACAAACTATTTTTTCTTAAAATGCTACAAGTCCCAAAAGCCCACCCTCAAGTTTCTACACTCTCAGAAAATAAAAGTTACATTGTTGTACCTTATTTACCCCCAAATGGTACATATTAGTACTCTGAAAAGTACAGTTTGGTAAAGTGAGCATATTAGTACCTTTTGGAAGGGTACCGCCCCAGTGACAACATTTTTTTTTCCTGAGAGTATATTATATAATGTTTTAAAAATGAATGTTGAAAAAAAAAAAAAGTGTGCTATTTCTCAGCTACCCACCTACAACAATAACCAGGTTGTGTCACTAACAGACCAGCATTGCCAATAAAGCCTGAATGATGAAAATAAAATAATGCACAAACAAATTTTTCTTGCAATTATTTAACAAGCCACATCCTAGCAACTCAGAACACCTCATCAATCATTACATTGCTCATTAAAGCACTTGTTTCTGTAGCACATTATGGATCAGCCGGAGCAACACTCATCTCATGAGCAAACAGGCTTCCTTGTGACAAAGAACCTACTGATATTACAATGGTCATATAATGAATGCAGAGACGGCTCAGATAGGTAATCAAGAAATAGAAAGCCAGCCCCTGGAGATTATGATGTCTGATATCATTTCAATGGTCTCTTTAGAGCTGGAGTGTGTCTCTCTTTTTTAAATACTTTCATATATTCAAGTTCAATTTGCAGAGACAACGAAGTAAACCATTCGTAGGTTGATTCACCTGAAAAGTGTAAACAGTGATTCTGTGGGGATATCAAAACATTGGTCTTTTTGCTTGAGCACCACAAGCGTAGAGCAACACTTTGAATCAACCAATCATGTGAGTTTGTGGCGGGACTAAGCGTTTGTTCAACCTATGGCAGAGTGGGTGGAGAGTTTGGGAAACCTGTTTGAAAACAGTCAATATTTTTTGCAATTCTTCTGAAATTAATTTGTCTTACTGCATGATTATTTAAATAAACTGTGAAAATATGAAACCAGTTAATAGCACCTAAAAATATACGTTTTCTTATATGCATAATGTTTTCATATTAATGCTCTGAACTTAAAAAATACACAAACTATTTTTTCTTAAAATGCTACAAGTCCCAAAAGCCCACCCTCAAGTTTCTACACTCTCAGAAAATAAAAGTTACATTGTTGTACCTTATTTACCCCCAAATGGTACATATTAGTACTCTGAAAAGTACAGTTTGGTAAAGTGAGCATATTAGTACCTTTTGGAAGGGTACCGCCCCAGTGACAACATTTTTTTTTCCTGAGAGTATATTATATAATGTTTTAAAAATGAATGTTGAAAAAAAAAAAAAGTGTGCTATTTCTCAGCTACCCACCTACAACAATAACCAGGTTGTGTCACTAACAGACCAGCATTGCCAATAAAGCCTGAATGATGAAAATAAAATAATGCACAAACAAATTTTTCTTGCAATTATTTAACAAGCCACATCCTAGCAACTCAGAACACCTCATCAATCACCTAGCCACACCCTAGCAACCATTCAAGCAACTCAGAACACCCTAGCAACCCCCAGCCATATCCTTGCAATTCAGAACATCCCATCAACCACCTAGCCACACCCTAGCAACCATTCAAGCAGCTCAGAACACCCTAGCAACCCCCAGCCATATCCTTGCAACTCAGAACACCCCATCAACCACCTAGCCACGCCCTAGCAACCAGTCAAGCAACAGAAGACCTCAGCAACAACATAGAGATACCCTGGCAACCACTCAAAAACCATGGAATCATGGTATCAACTTGTGCTTGCCTGAAATACTACTGTTATTTTCAGACATGCAGTCTCTAAAAATCAAGATAGAAATCTCAACAGAACATGAGGGTTGACATAACAGCAGAAAGCGATCTGTGTGGTCAACAACTACCTATTTAGTATTGGAGGAAAAACTCCAGAACCTTTAGCAAAATTAATATTGTATATTGCACTTTATAACTGCATGTGATCTGTTTTGTGAAAAGGATAAATAGCTATATAAAGTGAGGCATTTATCAGCTAGCTTTTGCATGAAATATTTAGCACAGCCTCAATGTGCACCATTTTGATGTCTAAATTCCCAAGGCGCTGTCATAAGAGCAAGCAGACCCTTAAGGCAAGCTTCCAGCAACTGCTCACCGGATACCATCTACAAAGAGCACGGCTATTTCATTCTGACTGCTCTATTCTTCATCAATTTCATCATACAAAAGGCAAGTATATGCTGCACTACCATAAACATTGACAACTCTATGAGACCAATTAACTTAAGTGAAGTTCTTTTATAGTTAGCCTGGGATTTAAGCATTTTGAGACAGAGGCTTTGTTCTGAAAACATTGTGATCTACCTGTGCTGACTACATAGGTAGCTGTGGTAGCATCTTTAGTGATATGGAACTTTGCAAGTGACTGATTTGGAAACAAAGAAAAAAAGAAACTAAAGACAATTCCCTGCTGCTGATTAGAGACGGTTTGGCTAGTAGACCAGCAAAGTCACTCTGTTCACTATAGAAGCCCATTTCCACCACAGGATATATAAAAAAATTTTTAAAAAAAAGGTAATTGCGACATATCTCATAATTCTGCCTTTTTTCTCGAAATTCTTACAATTATGACTTGAGCTTATATTTCGCAATTCTGAATTATTTGTCAAAATTCTTATATAAAAATGCAATTCCAACTTCTCTCAGAATTGTGAGATATAAACTCGAAATTGCTAGTTTTTATGTGTTATAACTGGTTTGACCTTTTTGCTGATCAAATGGTCATACAGCATGACAAATACATTTTTGAAAGTATAAAAAATCCATGTGGTTTCTCAATTAATTTGGGGTCATAATTTTTTTTTTTTATACAAGAATAAAATACAAGAATAAAATAATGTTGACTGAGGGCATGCTTAATGATTATGAAAGTGCCCAAGACAAACCAGCAAACAATATGCTTTAACTGGCTAATGCTTTGCTAGTTAAACTAGTGGAGGAGCATGCAGAAGCTGTAAGTAGTAAATTAATGCGATTAGCAGGTTAAAAACTTTGAGCATCTCAGTTGTCTATAATTATGCAGCTGGGGACCAAATCGCCATCCTGGACAACATCCCATTCTGGGAAGCAGCAAACAGCGTCCAAAACACAACATATGCTGGTCTTTTCAACATGGCAATTATAAATATTCACTCTCCAAATGAGTATGTACTCAAAAACCATTTTCCCCATGAGTATTTCAAGTTTGCACTGTATAAATCTCAAGGCTACGTGAGCAAAAGATTATCTAGTCATTAACAGTACAAGCTCTTATAAGCACATTAAACTCAGGATTTGAGCAATGAACCGATCTCTGATTAACAATGCAAATGAATCATTGAACGGCAAAATATAAAACACAACCAGTAAACATCTAAGCTAGCATAGCTAAGCTAAATGTTTTGTAGTTCTCAAATGACCAAACAAGCAGGCGACACTAAAATGATTTTCTGCACATTAACAAGAAATCAATAATGCAACATATTTACATGAATATACATTCCTGGTGCATAATTAATGTTCATTGCAATTTAAAAATTACTTGCTGCAGCTCTGAAATTACTTTGCATTTATAATCAACATCTTGAATCATGTAGAAACTAAAAATTAATTTAAAAAATATTTAAAAATAAATGTATTTAAATAAATTTCATTTAAATTTAATTCAATTGTGTGTGTGTGTTTACTTGTTAATTTCTCATTTCTATATTGTACAAGATTTGCATGTTAACAGTCAAAAATGCATTTATAATCTACATCTTGAATCATGTAGAAATTAAAAATTAAATACTTTTTAATATAATTAATACCTTTTTTTATTGTATTTTAATATATATGTATGCGTATGTGTGTGCACCATAATACATTAACATTTGTAAATAAAAAGTTTGCTAAATAACATTATTATGAAAAATGCTTTAAACATTGTTAGTTGATGATACCTAATGCATCTAATGTCAATGAACTGAACCTTACTATAAAGCATAACCATGGTTTGCTTAAAGTTGTCTCTATATTAAACTGGGATAAAAGAAAGTACTCAAAATCAGAAAAAATTACACACTTCAGATTCAGTCTTGTGTTTACATGAAGAAGCCATACAAGGTGAACAAAAACAACAATTACGTCAATCTTCACAACGCATCGGGATCAAAGTTTAATTGGGTAAAATGTGTAAGACGGAGAAGGACTGAAATCAGGCTGTAAACACATCAAACACAGAGCTGCCGTTCCAGCACCGGTGTAAGATGCGTGACAGATTCTAGTAGATCAATTATTCACAACAAAAACAAGCGTGGTATTTGTAGTCACACAACGGACACAGCTGCACGTGCAATTAAGTGGAATCCATGTAAGGATAAATGCTCAGGATTAAGGATGCACATGCCAGTGGCTGTGGCCGATGTCTCGTCCTGCTGCATGTGAAGGGTTGCAATGGATTACCTATGCATGAGGGGAGCGGGTGGTCCCACGTCCGTCTCTCGCCCGTCATACATCTCAATATGCTGCTGCCATGGAGACTGTAGCCAGGATCACAGCGATACGTGACCACGCTGCCAGCAAAGTGGCCTTGGTCGCTGACTTTGGATCCAAATTGTGGCACACCGGGTTCGTCACAATGAGAAAGTTCAAAACCTGGAGGAGAAAAGCATGTGAAAGGAACATCAGTGGGTGTTTTGAAGTGCTCCCAGGGGGTGGCTTTAGATTTGAAAGATTTCAAGATTACTGCTATATGAAGGTCACATTAAAACATCTTTTAAAACTTCTTGCTTGGGAACATCTTACCATGTATTCATCATTTTCATTATTCATCACTCCCTTTTTTCCCCTCCTTTTTACTTTTCAACTTTTATCTTATATTATCTTTTATCTTATTATTATTTTTTTTTTTACTCATCTCAGACCCAGACTTTCAATCTTAAAACATGAAAATTCCCATAATCTCAAATAGTATTATTTTAGTACCATTTTATCTTTCTTTTTTTTGTAGTTTGTGTTGCATTTGTGACATTTTTATTCATTTACAAATATATCTATATAGTTTTTATTAATCTGTATTTATGAGTTTTATTTTATTTAGTTTTAGTTATTTTAATACTGCAAGTTTAGCTAAATAAAAATTTGAAATGTTGCCTTGGCAACAAGCTGAAATTATATATATATATACACATTTAATTTTACTTCAGTTAACATTATTTCAAATAAAACGTTTTTTTTTTCTCGTTACGTTATAGTTCTTAGTTGACTATAAAAACCCTGACCGTCATACTGCAATTCATTTGTTTTTCTTTTCTCTTTTATTTCAAATATTTTGCACGTTAATATTTATTGGATCACAAAAAAATGTATTATACACTTTTACACAAATTAAACTGACATCATTTCCATCACACACAGCACTACTAAGATTTATTCAAAAGTTATTGCACTTGGTTTTTAATGAGATAAATGTATAAGTAAAAATATAACATTGAACTTAAAAAACATATACATTGAGTATTTAGGATACATTATCACACACAAACCTAAATAAATTAGAGAGAGTGTGAAAAGTGTGTTCTAAGAACATTTATTTTCTAAACGTTAACATGACTAAAGATGGCCACGGTTGAAGAAACACGCAGCTGATATGTTAGAGACCACCCAGCCATGTGTGGAATTGCACCAAGCTGCTGGAGTTCAAAATAGAGTACAAGACCAGAATCATGTGCATCCAAACATGCTTGCTGAGCATTTCATTTCAAAACCATGGGTATTAATATGAAGTTGGTCCTCCCTACTGCTACTGGATAAAAATGTCCACTCTTCTGGAATGGTTTTCCACTAGATGTTGGAACAAGGATGTAGGAATCTGCACATTCAGACAAACAAGCAGTACTATAAGAGTAAAGCTAAAATAGCAAAACCTATTAATCAAAAGGGGTGCTCAGATACTTTTGTAATGTGTAAAAATAAAATTTGAAAGGACTTCCAAATTGTTTTTCTGCTTCATAACAATCATATCAATCATTTCAACAAAGTTAACCTCTAAAATCAACTGAATTGCAGGGCTGCAAAATTGTCCCCGAGCTTCCAAATGAAGTTCCCACTCTCCCCTTTCTGATTTGTACAATTACATTTTACAAGCAAACACAATTTCCTGTGTATTTCCTATGTCATATACAATTACAGTGAAGAGGAGTACAAATAATATCATTCCAACCGTTTAATCCTAATCAGATTTTAACGGGAGAATGATAAAGCTAATTAATTCATTAAAACTAGGTGTGGGTGAAAGAAACACAATCCAAGCCCACCAGGAGTTACTCTCCCAGCGGACCGACACACGGCGTTATGAAATTCACTTTGAGTCTGCATAATGCAACCTTGTTATGCACATAAAACAAAGAAATAAATCCACAGCCATAATAATATTCACATTTATATGAACACACAGCCTGATAATACTGTGAGACAATAACATGAGCAACACTGCGCCTGCCAATTAAGACTTTACTGACTGGAGATGAAAATGCAGAGGATGTTATAGAGAGTTTATGGATAATAGCAGATTCATTCAGCTCTAAAATCTAGTCTTGTGTGAACACACATATCAAAGCAACTAGCAGAATTAATCAAGATAATATCACATTAATGATATTGATACAGTAAACTCAGAGAGTCCAGTACTTTTGACTACTGGCATAAACTCTGCAGCTTATTCTGCCCACCACTACATGTGTAAGTGGGCAGAATAAGCTGCAGAGTTTATGACAGACATAATATAATTGATTTTTTTTTTTTCTTTAAGCATTTGAAAGAAGTCTCTTCTGCTCACCAAGGCTGCATTTATTTGATTAAAATACAGTAAAACATTAATATTGTGAAATAGTATTACAATTTACAATATATTACAATAAAGAACTGTTTTGTATTTAAATATATTTTAAAATGCAATTTATTCTTGTTATGACAAAGCTGAATTTTCTGAAATTATTCAATTTCAAGAAACATTTCTTATTATTATCAATGTTGAAAACAGTTTTTGTAGCTTAATATTTTGGTGGAAACTGTGACTACATCCAAATGTACATTTTATTGTATGTATTATAAAACATAATATTTAATGTGTGAAAGTCTTGTGATGCTTTTTGTTACTGGAAAAATAAAATAAAATTAAATTAAAAATATCAATTATTTCCATGTTTTTGCAACAAAATTATTTTTTATGATGCATGGAAAGCACTCCATTTCTACCACCCTCTCCTTTACAAACGCACACATTCTGTACAGTACAGACACATACCCGCACACACAGAAACGTACACACACACAGAAACCTGTTGTCAGCGCTGCTCTGATGATTTTTATCAGTAAAACAGTTTAACAACTTAAAAGCTACATGTCATTTCTCACAAGCGGAACCGGGAACACTTTCCATAACACCCGATGTACTTGCTACATCGTTAGAAGAATGGCATCTACGCTAATATTAGTCTGTTTCTCTCTTATTCCGAGGTCACCGTTGCCACCAGATCCAGTCTGTATCCAGATCAGATGGTCACTGCAGTCACCCGGATCCAGTACGTATTCAGACCAGATGGTGGATCAGCACCTAGAGAGGACCTCTACAGCCCTGAAAGACAGCGGAGACCAGGACAACTAGATGAACACCAGATACAGATGTTATTCCCCTGTAAAGACCTTGTCTCAGACGACCACCGGGACAAGACCACAGGAACCAGATGAGTCTTCTGCACAATGTGACTTTGCTGCAGCCCTTTAATTGAACTGCTCCCCGACTGAGCCTGGTTTCTCCCAAGTTTTTTTCTCCATTCTGTCACCGATGGAGTTTTGGTTCCTTGCCGCTTTTGCCTCTGGCTTGCTTAGTTGGGGACACTTCATTTCCAGCGATATTGTTGACTTGATTGCAAAGATACTATTTAAACTGAACTGATGATGACATCACTGAATTCAATGATGAACTGCCTTTAACTGAAAAATGAGTGTTTACTATTGTCACTTTGCATTATTGACACACTATTTTCCTAATTAATGCTGTACAGTTGCTTTGACACAATCTGTATTGTTAAAAGCGCTATATAAATAAAGGTGACTTGACTTGACTTGACAAGCGCGGTAATACGGCGCTGTTCTTGAATCAGATGAACTTACAGTTTCGCTATTACTTGAGACTCTGCTGCCGAACTCTGTTGAGACGCACAGACTCAGGTAATTCACATACTTTTAATCTCTCTCTCTCTCTCTCTCTTTCTTTCTTTCTTTCTCATAATTGCATTAATAACTGCATTATTCTGCTATCAACGGCTCAAGCCTCAATTACTGGGTCTAAAATGGCGTTTTGGAATTACAAATGGAGGCGTGGGATGACACGAGTTAGAAATTAATCCTACACACAAGTGCGTTTTAAGGGCAAACACCTGATGAATGTCTTGAAATACAACATCTGAACAATATTTGAGGTGTGGTAACCATAGTAGAAGTGGAATACTTGACTCTGGTCTGTTGAATTATTAGAAAATAATGCACACCCGAGGTATAATGAATTATTTTCTAATAATTCAACATCGTTAATTATTCCTTACTAATATAATATAATATAATATAATATAATATAATATAATATAATATAATATAATATAATATAATATAATATAATTTGATATATAATATAATATAATATAATATAATATAAAAAAATCTATCTGAAATGGTGTGAGACTAAATAAGGGAGAAATTTTTGGGTGAACTGTTCCTTTAAATTATACTTTGTTCTGAGTTCTCTTTCACTTTTTTTAAGTGCCAAATGCACGTTATCAGTGCCTGATAGACAAATGAGAGGCTGTCAGTGCCACGCAGTAAATGAGCAAGTCCATCTAAACGCCTCCAGCGCTGGGCATTAGTAAGTCACTCCTCCATTCTCAAAGAGCCGAAGCGGTGCTCAATACCGCCGATAACCTCATTCACACTCATGTTTTCCTCACGCTGGGACGTTACTGTTACGCTACCACCAGCTATAATCCTGCTGCAGAGCTTGTGCACGCTTTATGATTAAGATATTAAATAATACGGCACTGTGAACTGTGGTAGACACATTAGAAAACTTCTCATGAGAAAAGAAAAACCTATAATTTCAAACAAAGGAAATTAAGAGTCTCTGTGCTTTCTCAATGGCACTAATAATCCATGCATAAGATGCCGCTAATTCAAAGGGTTTCATTTAAAAAGCAATAAACCATGTGTGTGGTGTAGCGAGTGCTGGGGACAATTATACAGTTCAAGCAGACAATGAAATGAAGATATTAATCCAGAAATGAAAATTAATTGAGCTAATATATTCCACTGTGAGGTGAGAGGTGGCTTATGGCACAAAGATTGAGAGGGAGCAGGAGACCTCATTCATATCTGTAGGCATTTGCACGTAGAAATGCATGTAGAAATTAATACACCTGCCCATAATACTGTATTGACAACTAGATTATTTAGTTGTAATTATTTTGCTTCTCTGTATATTTGTGACAAACTGTAGCAAAACTGTTTTGCTTATTTTTCTTTAGCATACAGTTTGGATGTCATATTTCAGTCATTTACGTCCACGATGGTCAGATTATCTTTCTTACAATTTGATAAAACATTGGTTCCTAAAAAAGATAGAGGCTAACATTTGAGTAAATCACTTGTATTATCAAACAGTAACATTTTAATTACTTACCAAAGCCAATTTTTAATGACATTTGACACTTGGTGAGTGCTCATTTTTGACCATTTTTGTACAATATCAATGCACTGACAGCATCCTAAATGTAAACCTTTATGCATTCACTACTGTTCAAAAGTTTGGAGCTGGTAAGATTATTCTGAGGGAAAGAAATTAATACTTTTATTCAGCAAGGATGCATTACATTGAACAAAATTGTCAGTGAAGTCATTTATAATCTTATTAGAAATGTATAATAATAATCATTTCTATTTCAAATAAATGCTGTTCTTTCTAACATTCTATTCATCAAAGAATCCTGAAAACAATGTATCAAATCATATTAGAATGATAGCAGAATAATGCAGCAAATCACAAAAAAGCTGTGACAGGCAAGACACAAAAAAAGATGTGCATTACAGGAATAAATTATATTTTAAAATATAATCAAATAGAAAACAGTTATTCTAAATTATAATAATATTTCACAATATTACTATTTTTACTGTATTTTAGGTCAAATAAATGCAGCCTTAGTGAGCAGAAGAGACTTCTTTCAAAAACATTAAAAACTGACCGCAAACTTTTGAATAAGAAATGCTGGAACTTTTATATGGGTGCAGGAGTTCAGCACTCAGACACATTCCCACAGAGGACTCTCATTTATCAGTAAATTATGGCGAAGCATTGTGCGAGAACATCCGTTTTAATTGAAGCTTTATGAAATCCAGATGGGACTAATAAAAGTACAGTAATTTGCAGCCTTGGTAGGAGTGAATTTAATTATCATCAAAGCTCATCAAGTCTGAAATATTAGTGAAACACTGTTGATGTTACATGTCCCACTTGCTTCTATTAGCTTGTGGGCGACACACGACTAGTTTCAGGAGTTTGTGAGCTCTACACACGAATTTGTGAACACCCCAAATGAACTTAACTCAAATGTCTACAGCATGTGCTTCATGCACGCAGATTGACTTTATTTTCACTTTTGGGTAATAAAAGCTACACCGGGCAGGCAGCTGACTAAGAGCTACTGAAGTCATGTAATCTAAGTCTGGTTGTGACAGATTAAAGGCTGGAAGCTCTAGTGTGTGTGTGTGTGTGTTTCTACAAGCAGTGTGGAAGAAAGCAAGTGTACGAGAAGACTTACTGCTGTAAACCAGCTTAAAACCCTCAGCCGTATCCTCTTGATCAGAATAAAACTCCAGCCACAGCTGATTCGACGTGCTGGTCAACGACTGACCTAACATAGAGGAACCTGAGAAACCTCCCAGAACTTCTGCTGTGTTGTCTGGACCATCATACAACTGGGGAAACAGACCAGAAAAGTCTATAGGGTTTCCCAGCAAACAAAACATGTTCTAAGAATGTTTTACTAATGTTAGGAAAACATTATTTCTGAATGTTCTCAGAAACATCCAGCTTTGAAAAAATTGTAAAAACGTTTTATCTAGGTCATGTGAATGTTAAAGGGGTCTGATCTTTAAAAAAGCATCATATGACCCCTTTAAAAAAAAAAAAACATTAAGGGAATGTTACATTTTTTATCATTTTGCAAACATTATGGGAATGTTACTTTCAAATGTTCTCTGATTTATTTGAAACAAGTAGCAAGCAGTCTAAAAAAAACCATTAGACTAACATCCAACTAAAATGTTTCACAAAATTATTAACACGATGTATAAATAATGTTTTTGTGCTAAAATTGTGAAAGCGACCAGAAAACTTTATGCGGTTCTATTAACATTACTAGAAGAACGTTTGTTCATAACATTTCCAGAACATTCCCTGTTAGGTGGGTTGGCGTTAATGTGTTGCTAAGCAAACAATACATTGCTTTAAGCATTTATATCCATTGCAAATAGACAAATATTGCCCAAAATACTACATTTTTGATTAAATGACGTGTTTTGGTGCTTTTAGAATCAAATGAATGTGTGTTGCAAGCATGACTCTGACATCGGTGTACATGCAGTACTTACCTTAAGAACGTCACCATGAGACAGATTAAAGGTGCTAGCTGAGATGTTGACTCCTTTTCCTGCCTGTACTTGAATGTTGTAGATGCACTCGTGGTTGTTCTCGTAATTGCGAGGGTACTTTGGGGACAACAGGACACCGGCGTTCTTGGAAACAGTTGAGCCGCACTCAGCTATGGACAATGGGGAACCGTAGTGACATAGTGGAACAGCAATGCGTAAAAAGTGTAAATTTGGGGAAATAAAGAAAAAAGCAAAAATCTAGGTATTCAGAAAGACAACACATCATCAAAACATGCAGTAGATTTAAAAAAAAAACATCTTGAACAACATATTTTGTCACTCATTAGTTGCATTAGAGTCAGTACTGTATAAATGCAATGCGTTTAACTTGACCATCAATTTTCAACACATGAAGAAAAATCATCCGCAGTTTCTCTGTCATGACTTGTTATTTGATTACACTGTCAAAGGGTAAGAAATCGTACTCAAAATTGGATAATAAATAAATACCACATTTATTTCCATAACTAGATGTGAATCACTAAATTAACATGAAACATACTTTAATTTTATAATACCATTACCATTTAAAATGTTTATCAATTGAAGTACTATTTTAATAATAAGTAGTATATAATAAGTACACTCTAAAAATGATTTATCAAAGTTGTAAATAAAACACAGATTGGAGTATGTTTTACAAGAAAATACTGTTTCAGTCTAAGAAATTGTCCTCAAAATTAATGCATATTTAATTCCAAACTAGATGCAAATCACTCAATTAAACTTGAAAGCTATTTGCATGTTATAACAATTAGGATAACACCATTTAAAATGCATGCTTTTCAAAGTATTATTTATTACTATATAAGTAAGTACTTTGTAAAATCAGATTTTTTGACGATTATTAGAATACATTTCACAAGAAAATACAATTGCAGTCTTTCTAATTCATTTGCCGTTTCCTTGTAATTAATTGTGAAATGTACAAGCAATTTTGGAGTGAAAATTGTTTAAGTAAATTTGTTCTCTGATTTATTTGAAACAAGTAGCAAGCAGTGTATCATTTTGTGTATAATACGTATAATAAGTAGTATTTATTATACTGTGCAGCAAGCTTTGAGTAGTACACTACTACTCCATTCAGAACACAGTACAACTCAATAGCCTGTCGTCGCTGAACTCGAATGCAACCATGGAGACTTGTCAAACTCTGGACGTCCAAGCAAATGAGAGCAGCTGACCACGTACCCACACACCTTGGCAGAGGTGCACTCCATATGCGCCGTCCACCGCCCAGGCAAGTGATTTCTCGAGCGCCCTGCAGGCGGTAACCAAGGTCACAGGAGAACGTCAGAGTGTCGCCGATGCCAAATCTGCCACCGCTGTGCCTGCCAAACTGGGGCACACCAGGGTCCTCACAAGGCTCCAAATCATATTCTAATAATAAAATGAACAGCAAAAAGTTTAGCCGGAAACCTAGTTGACCTCATTTGCTGGTGCTGGTGTTATGCAGGTTGAACTTTATTGTATGCTAAAACTTACTGTAATATGGCTTTGCAGGATGTGACAAAGATAATTCATGTAAACTGCAAAAATCAGGAATTAGTTATGAGCTCTTTGGCTCTGTTCCGAACCCTAGTGAGATACCACATAGGCAGCATTTTAAAGGAATAGTTCACCTAGAAATGAAAATGTGCAGAAAATGTACTCACCCTCAGGCCATCCAAGATGTAGCTGAGTTAGTTTTTTTATCAGAACAGATTTGGAGAAATTTAACATTGCATCACTTGCTCACCAATGGATCCTCTGCAGTGAATGGGTGCCGTCAGAATGAGAGTCCAAACAGCTGATAAAAACATCACAATAATCCACAAGTAATCCACACCACTCCAGTCCATCAGTGTCTTGTGAATTGAAAAGCTGTGTGTTTGTAATAAACAAATCTATCATTAAGAAGTTTTAACTTCTGGGTAAAATAAGAGTCCCCCATCCACAATATTGCTTTCTCCAGTGAAAAAGTCGTCTTGTCTGAATCAAGAGAGAAATATGCACAGATCAAGCACTGTTTATAAGCAAAAACAGTTCAAAAGAGCTCCAAAAAAAAAAAATTGTAGGTAGAATTTAATGTGAGAGACAACAGGATATTAAATTTTTCACTAGAGGATGTGTTATTATTGATTATTATGGACTTATATTTTGGTAGTGACTGTTTTAAAGTTAAGGTGCCTTAATGATGGATTTGTTTCTTACAAACAAGCAGCTTTTGTCTTCTCCAGATGTTAACTGATGGACTGGAGTGCTGTGGATTACTTGTGGATTATTGTGATGTTTTTATCAGCTGTTTGGACTCTCATTCTGACGGCACCCATTCACTGCAGAGGATCCATTGGTGAGCATTGGTAATGCTAAATTTCTCCAAATCTGTTCTGATGAAGAAACAAACTCATCTGCATCTTGGATAACCTGAGTACATTTTAAGCAAATGTCATTTTTTGGATGAACTATTTTTTTAAGAATCATAGATGTGCTCTAGATGCAAAGTCTGCTTCAAAGAGTAATCATTAAAAAAAAAAATCTAAATTGCTATTTAGATTCTAAAAATTACTGATAAAGATAGTCGCAGTAAAAAAAATAAAAAATAAAATACATTTAAACTTCTCATGTGAACTTCTGCATGTATGTATTTAAGAATCATAGATGTGCTCTAGATGCAAAGTCTGCTTCAAAGAGTAATCATTAAAAAAAAAAAATCAAAATTGCTATTTAGATTCTAAAAATTACTGATAAAGATAGTCGCAGTAAAAAAAATTAAAAATAAAATACATTTAAACTTCTCATGTGAACTTCTGCATGTATGTATGACAGCCTACAGCCTTCATAGATGGACGCTGATGTGATTTAGGTTAAAAACACATAAATACTCAGTACATGTCAAACGATCTGTAATGACAGACAAAGCAATAGTGATCACATAATAAAAACAGTTCCTCACACTTGTGTGGTGCAACATTAGGCCTACTGTCTATGAAGTGAACAAAGGACCGAGTTCTGACGTGATCTGGAACTTCATTAAAAATAAAGTTCATCCACTCTTTCCTAATGTTGGGGTGAGAAGGAAGGCGATGCAAAGACTGTGTTTTTTCACAACACATTTTTATCGTTTGGTTTCTGTGTAGACCTGCATTTGGCTCTCCCGTTATTACACTGCATGCGTGAATCGGTGGGCGGGGCTAAACAGGCAGTGATGTAGAATCGGTGGGCGGGGCTAAACAGGCAGTGATGTAGAATCGGTGGGCGGGGCTAAACAGGCAGTGATGCAGAAGCAGGCGTTGATCTTCTTCTGCGGAGACGGGGTTTAGCCACACTATTACGTCATAAAGTGACACATTCCACAACCTGTCATTTGGCAGATTGGCTTCAATATAAGCTGTTTAATTTAAGGAAGTTTTTATAGTACAATGACCACTTATATGTCAGTAGATCAAGGGAATTTTGATTTCTCAGTTCTTGACCCCTTTAAAGTCATATACCATTAGCTTAGCACCATGCTAAAGTACCATTCTATTGGAAGTGTCCTCAGGTCTTCTTCGCCTGAGGAGTGCTAATTACTGTAGATGAGGCAAATATTTAAACAATTGTCATGTATTTGGTAGAAGAATTATCACAACAGTTATTAAAACGTTTTGAAATTTGTTCCTGATAAATGACACGCAGTTCTTCTTGTTGCTTTATTTTAGCATGGTACTTCAGTCTTGATATTCAACCAATGTCTCGTGTAACATCACATCATGATTCACAGAGTAAACAGAGAGTGAACATTTACCCTGGGTTATCTGCAAGCACTTAAACAATCAATTACAGCTATGATAGCAACAGTGTGAATCATTTACACACATGTAAATGATATGCAGAAACGGTTAGTGTAGGACCGCAGCTGCGGTTTCAATTAGATCCTGGCGCAATGAGTTCAGATGACTTTGATGGTCGATGGCAACGACATGAATTGCTTGTTTGCCACTTTTGCTTCCTCTGAGCTCTAATATCAAATATTCAAATCTATTTAGAAACACAATGTGTTCAGCATATGAACACTTGCACCTTGTCACTCCGAAGCTGTATAGAAAATTGAATAGATTTCATATTATGTAAAGATATCAGTTCTCGTCCTTGAACTTTCAACATTAAGGCTGGAATGTTAATGGTGGAAAGCTTTTGTCTGCAGTTTCACGCCTGATACTTTTCGCATTATGCATGTCTGCTTCTGTCAATCCCATCAATATTCAGTACCAGAAAAAGGTCAACCGCTGTTTTCATCAGGTAATATATATTAGGCTAATACAGGAACTTGGCTTCTGGATAATTGTATGGGTATTCATAACTCCAGTCATTAATTAATGTATATGATGGCTCAAGTAAACATTAGCCAAACCCTATGGGCTCTTCTCACAACTTGGCTTTATATCAGAACAGCATGTCCTCTAACAATGTATTATGCTGACCTAAAATAAATAGTTCAGCCCAAAATCTGTCCAACTGGAAGGCTTTTTGAAGCTCAGTTGAATGGAGAAGATCTGTGTAAAAATTCTTCGTATTATTCTTAGAAAACAAAAATGGGATGGTAATGACATGGGAATGCATAAAAATGCTTATTTTTTATTTTTTATTATTTTTAGATGAACTATTCCTTTAAAGCCTGTTATTCCTGTTAAAAAAGGTAACAATTTACTTAAAGACTTTATGTATAATGTATTATACAGGTATCCATAATGTACATTGTAATGCATTATATCATTTCATAAATAATTGTAACCAAAGTTAAAATGCCTTCAAATATTTGACGTTTTTTTTGGTAATGTGTTTTAATGCATTATACTTTCTAAAGGTGTAATGATGAGTATTATAATGTATTGTAACTATGGTTACAATTATTAATAAAATACACAATGCATTATAAGGTGTATTACAAGACATAAGTAAAGCATTAAAACTACTTTTATAATGAATTATATATAAAGGCTTTAAGTAAAGTGTTACCAAAAATTACTGTAACCAGTCATGAACAGATATTCGGTGCAACTGCTTTAAAATACTGTTGGCTTCCTGGCGGTTTCTCGACTATGAGCTCATATTTAGCTGTCAAATAGGTTTCTTTTCCACTTTTACGTCAAAAGGTAGATCAACTAATTCCATTAGACGGCAGCCCAGTTTAACCCAGTGCCCAGTGGGTATCCGGTGGTGACCGTGCAGCGCAGCAGGATGATCCAGTGGGGATCTGTGACTAATGAAAAACGCAGCCCAAAGCCAGCTCTAATATCAGCCAGCAGTTCGCCGCTAAAGTCTGACGAGAAGACTGCCGGGAACACTGATAAGACTCAGACTTTCAATAAGCCACTGAGACGAAGCTCAAGTTGTTGCCAATTGATTACCTTTATCAATGTACAAAACACCATCTATATCTAATTGCTGCTATGACTTTTCATAGAAACAGTAGGAGCTGATGACGATAGCTGCTGCTCTTGTCCTACAATAACCTTTGATAATATCCTCAGATTTGGATTCATTATTAGATCTTATACTAAAGGATGGTATGGCTATCAGTTTCATTAGGGAAAAAATAATTATGTAAATTATTGCACTGTTAGCAAAATTTTGTGCTGTAAAAGTTTGTGTAAAAGTTTGCAATTTTTTAGGAAAGAATGGGTTTATCATTTCACAATTTAGGTAAAAATGGTTTTACAAACAATCTGCACGGAAAATTGTGTAGCTCAGTGTTTATGTAACTTGTCACAATGAACTGATTACATCAATTTATGTAAGAATGGTTTCATGAATGATTTACAGAAAAAATGGCTTTGCTCAGAATGGCTGGCTCTCTTCGTAAACTGTTACAAATCGAATGCAACAATTTACATAAAATTGTGTGCATTGCAGATGCTTTCTATCAAAACGGTGTGTCCTCTAACAATGCATCACTCTGACCTTAAAGGAATAGTTTAGTAAAAAAAAAAATTGCTCTATGTTGATGATTTCTGACCTTTTTTTAGAGCTTAGTTAAATGGGAAAGAGCAGTGTAAAAAATCTTCACATTTTTCCTCAAAAAACGTAACAGCATATAAGCTTGTAGTGACATTGGGATGCACAAAAATTGCATAATTTTAATTTCAGATTAACTATTTTTTAGAATTTACTGCTATTCTTTGCAAAAAAAAAAAAGGTTTGGGGCAACTGAAACTGATAATAATAATAATAATAATAAATAAACAAACCAATAAACTAATAAACAAATAAATAATAAGTAAATAATTAAGAATAATAACAACAGTAAAAGACCTAAATGAACCATAAAATCAAATGGGACACACTGATTCTTTCACCTGAGAAAGAGATGTTGAAACCCTGGAAGGAGATGGAAAAGTCTGAGATGAAGCGAAGCTGAGCCTTGAAGTTGCCGTAAAGCCCGGCGTTGACTGGCAGGGGTCGTTGCGAACCGGTGAGCCGGGCGAGGGGCCGCGCAAAACTGCCGTTCTCCGTCAGGAGCAGATAGTCATGGTGATCCTCCAGGTGAAATGCATGAAACGTGAACTGCACACCTGAGAAGAGGAGGCATCAGATGGGGACACCAATTACCGTATTGACCCGAATATAAGACGATGTTTTTTTCTTGGAAATACATCTGAAAAAACGCGGTTGTCTTATATTCAGGGTCTAGACTTTGACATGTCAATAATACACCCACAACAATAGGTGGCGCCAAATACGCATAAAACGAGTGTGCCATGAAATACATAATGTAACGCGTGTTGTAAAGATCGCGAGTAAAAACAAAAGAAAAAGAAAACCTTACAGCTGCATGAGTCGTGACTGTCACGTTAGCCTGATGGGACCAAACTCCCTTTGTGATTTTAAAACGTAAGACAGTACCCAGATTTGAAGACTACAGTAAGATTTAACTTCTACTGTTAATAAGATTTTGGTAGGCTACTATTAGATGGATAGACTAAATGTCCTAATTCAGATGGGCTACCTGTTTTTTTTTTTTTTAATGGTATATCAAAAAGTGTATATTTTTTAAATGTGATTGTTGGTACATTTTACCCGTTTTTACCATACTTTCCAAACAAAAATTAAAATAGGAAAAATATGCAATATGAAAATAATTGAAGACAAAATGTGTTTTACTGAGAAAAAACAAGATTTGGTTTATAAAATGGCTTTTTCCAAAAGGTACATCTGGAAAAAGGGGGGTCGTCTTATAATCCGGGTCGTCTTATATTCGGGCCAATACGGTATATACTTCTTCAACAGGACACATCATGTCAAAAGAAATTACTTGGATTCTTTAAGGAAACAAGGTGTAAGTGGAAAAATTATGGCGGTGTCTTTAAATAAATTGAGGATAAATAAATCTATCTCAGCTAACGCTGTAAACTACATAGGGAGCCCTATTACTATTATACTATTAAAGTTTACAATTAACAACAGAGTACAAAACATTAAATTGCTATGTATTTTTAGATATAATAATTAACACTCAAATAAAAAAATTGTATGGAAACATGTAAATTGCGCACAAGGCATTTTTATATCAACTAAATCTAATTATAAAATGATGTTTCAACTCCAATTCTTTCTTTAAATAATTAAATAATAATTTTCACAGTGGACAGATTAATTTAAACATGCATTAAATAATTAAGACATCACAAACAGGTCATGTAAAATATAAATTATATATATAGATAGAGAGAGAGAGAGAGAGAGAGAGAGAGAGATAGAGAGAGAGAGGCAGAGGCTAATACAGTGCATATATTTGGTGAAATGCTCTTCTGAATTGCTGGACTGAGGTAAATGTAATGCTATGTGACATTGTTCACAAGCTGTTTTATTGACGTCTTTCCATAGTTGAAACACTAATTGAGCGATTACATAAGACACAAGATGTTTATTCATGTTTATTTCATGTTATAACTGGTAATAAAGAGGAAGGGATGATCGCTGCTGTTTAAACTGAGGTGCCTATACAGCATTAAAGTGTCAAAATTGTATTTATTGTTTGAATTTCTGAATAAAACAGACAGAAATTAAAAGATGTGACTTTGTTTTTCCTCGAAAGGTACAAAACGCAAAGCTTATTGTGATTATAGGACAGGATATAATGTCTATAAAGTTTTATTCATGCATTAATAAAACAGCAGATTAGAAGATCAGTCTTGGGATTTAAGAATGGATATTGATTCGTTAAAATAGAAGAATAGTTAGAAGTTTTAAACCAAGTTCTACACATTCAGTGGATAAAACAATGTATTTGTTCGGTACACTCACACACACATACACAGTGTGTGTTCAATAAATAAAAATACACACTTGTATGTGTTCATTGACACCTAAAAAAATGACCTTTGACAGATCTGATGTCAAAAGCGAGCTCTCATCTTCTTCTGACAGCACATGAAGAATTCTCCTGGGTACGTACCTTTGCCATGGCTGACCTCCAGAGTCCACGTGCAGTTTAATGAGTTGGGATAGAGCTCTGGAAAGCCGGGAGAGAGGATGATGCCCTCTGGGCCCTGGACATCGCCTCCGCACAGAGCTGCAGGAAGACATGTGTGGAATCTTAAAAAAGATCTGAAACTTTACAGGAAGCACATATGCAACTGTTCTTGTATCACTTTTAGTTTCTCCGTTTTCAGAGACTTGAGCAGGAATTCTGTTGAGATAAGCAGTGTTCAGCTGAGGGAATTCAAAGAGTAGTGTGTAACCTTCACCGGAAGTAAAAATACCACTGAAAGGTTAACGAGAGTAATGAGAATTTCTTCTACTTTGAGCTACTTTCCACCTGCCGTTGTCTCCAGAAAAGGTCACAACCCCACTTTACTTTGTCTATGAAAGTTTCCTAAGAAAATGAGTGAGTGCTGCTGTCCATGCAAAACTCTCTGCCATGGTGCTAGGAGGTTATGGATGATTGCATGAGAATTGCTATGCTGTTTCAAAGTGGTTGCTCACTGGTTAGAGTTAGAAGTGTCCAACTACAGGTCTCGATGACATTCTTCTTCGATGAATGTCTATGCATTTATTTTCACACAAACAGTGCAGGAAGAGATACTTTTAAAACTTAGGCTTAGAAGTTTAGCAGAATAAATAATGATACTTGGCTTAGCAAACAGTCCTAATAATACTGAATTTCAGAAACGTTGACATCTAATTGCACACAAGAAGTAAATGCACTTATGTCATTGAGATGTCAATGAAAGCGCAATCTGAAAGCGGAACTTGGCACTAGCAGCATCAAAATCATGGGTTTGATTCCCAGGGTATGCATGAACCCATAAAAAAATTGCTTTGGACAAAAGCATCTGCCAGATGCATAAATGATGTATGAATAATGAATGTGTGAAAATCATTTGTGAAACCAAGACTAAGATCATTGTTAAAAATAATCATGTGTAAAATGATTGCAATTTTAGGTAAGAATGGTTTCATCATGTCACCATTTAAGTAAAAATGGTTTTCTGAAAAATTTGGACAGACATTTGAGTTTGGAATGGTCCAATACTCATGTAAATTCTCACACTGAACTGAATACAATTAATGTAAGAATGGTTTTACAAATTATTTTCAAATAAATTAATTCTGCTTTGTTTGGCTCTTTTTGTGAACTGGAGCATCGAAATGAATGTGGCAATTTACATGAAATTTGTGCACACTGCAGATGAAAATTTAAATAAAAACATAAAAATGGGAATGCATTAACTCGTTTAGAAAAATGCTTATGACAAATGCATCTGCCAAATACATAAATGATGCATAAATAATGTAAAATTAAAAAGTACATCATGTTCATCACATATTATTTCACAAAATATTTTAGACTTTTGCAAACAAAAGAATGAATTTGGATACATCTTAAAGCATATTAACAAAGTAAATGTTGTGCCAAGGAATGCTGAAGTGACACTGCAGATGAAGAAAAATCCGCAAGACATTCACATGCATTGTATAAACTCTTGGTGACGTAAATGTGTGTAATCAGAAAATCTGAAACTCATGGCTCATCTCTAATTGTGTTTCTTCTGAACACAAATTGAAAAGCGACTCAAGGTGTCTCAAGAAACCTTATCATAGCGTCTTCTACTAAACCAAAAGCTGAAATAGGCTGGTGGCATTATCTCGGCAGGGCTTAGGCTATTGATTGTGGCAAATATAGATCTTGAGTAATGGTCAAACCAAAGAAATACATTTTAGTCCCATGCTAAGACTTGACTGAAAACTAGTAACAGCCAGAGATAATATCATGAAATGGAACAGAAAATCATTTTGAAACTGAGCTAACATTTTCAAACATGTTAAGTGCTTGAATGAAAACACTTTAGGTCAGAAATGGCATCCTTTAGATTTATCTTTGAAATACTGAAGTGAATTTCACTATTATTTTTATTTTTCACTATTACTTTCACCCAGAGACATAGGGCTGCAACCCAACTCACATACCTTTACTACATACTAAAAGTATGCACTTTAAGACGCATATATATATAAATATATATATATATATATATACCTTCTCAGTCAAAATGCATGGGATTGTTGACTCAGTTGATTTAAATGGTATTAGCATATTGCTAAGCTAACAATGCACAATGCTAATAAGTTACACACAAATGTATTGGGTAAAATCCTAACAGTCCTAAGTAAACTACGAGTATAGCCATGCCAACTATGCATTTTGGGACTGTCTTCTCCATGAAGGATACCAGAAATTCTGCCATAGTTTTTGACCAAAAGAAGGTATTCTAGAAAGGCTAGGCTGCGGAATGAAGCTATCTACTCTTTCTTTTTTGGGAGCAAACTTATTATGCCTTGAAATGCCACAAAGATTTGGAGCAGAGCCACAGTATGCAAACTGGGATGCAGTCATAGTCATTGCTTCTTGAGATGTCCAAACTAAGACCTGAACTTCAGAATTCAAGGAATGAAGGCAGATTTCCTCAGCGACTTCACCTTTAATGATAATGAATGTCAGCGTCACTCCCCGTGAGACGATAAAAGAGTCTAGCGCCTCGGGCTCAACATCTGCCTAAATCTCTTTCTTTCTTTCCTCCGGCACCGTGAAGTACCCAAAATATTTCCTCCATATTCAGTTAATTCAGAATGACACAAAGTTATTAAAATTGAACAGGCCAAATGGGCCAGACATGCTAAGAGTGCCCTTTTGGAAATAAGAGCATTTTACCGGAAGGTTAAAGTCAACAAAAAGGAGCCTGTTTACTTTCTAAGTTCCTGGTCTTACTGTTGTTCCAAATAAAAAAATGTTCTTCTACAACATCTTGCTCCTACAATGAAATTGCTCAATTCTGGCAGCGAGTTCTTCTGAACCAATCCATTCCTGACAGATAAAATCAAGTCTAGCCATGCCAACTATGCATTTTGGGACTGTCTTCTCCATGAAGGATACCAGAAATTCTGCCATAGTTTTTGACCAAAAGAAGGTATTCTAGAAAGGCTAGGCTGCGGAATGAAGCTATCTACTCTTTCTTTTTTGGGAGCAAACTTATTATGCCTTAAAATGCCACAAAGATTTGGAGCAGAGCCACAGTATGCAAACTGGGATGCAGTCATAGTCATTGCTTCTTGAGATGTCCAAACTAAGACCTGAACTTCAGAATTCAAGGAATGAAGGCAGATTTCCTCAGCGACTTCACCTTTAATGATAATGAATGTCAGCGTCACTCCCCGAGAGACGATAAAAGAGTCTAGCGCCTCGGGCTCAACATCTGCCAAAGTCTCTTTCTTCCCTCCAGCAGCGTGAAGTACCCAAAATATTTCCTCCATATTCAGTTAATTCAGAATGACACAAAGTTATTAAAATTGAACAGGCCAAATGGGCCAGACATGCTAAGAGTGCCCTTTTGGAAATAAGAGCATTTTACCGGAAGGTTAAAGTCAACAAAAAGGAGCCTGTTTACTTTCTAAGTTTCTAAGTTCCTGGTCTTACTGTTGTTCCAAATAAAAAAATGTTCGTCTACAACATCTTGCTCCTACAATGAAATTGCTCAATTCTGGCAGCGAGTTCTTCTGAACCAATCCATTCCTGACAGATAAAATCAAGTCCAGTTCTACATTTTATTTCATTGAACTTCTTGTGTCACCCAGAAATGTCACATTACACAAGCAAAACAGGCTGCGGATGACAGTTTCATGCTGACTTGAAGTTTTAAGTACTAGATGTCTTGACAGAGAGTCCAGAGCATTGGTCGGAAGTCTGGAAGCAAACCAAACATTACCAGTGGTTTATAATTAAAACTTAAGGTGACAATCATATCCAGCTGAATAGACTAAGTCTTGTGTCAGCCCTCATTGCACCACAGCTACTCATAAAAAAGACAAAACTTTGAGAACTCAGTCACAGACATTTTAAGAATAGAATATCCAGTAAGACTCCAGTTGAAACCTCTATATATAATGCATAAGGAAGGGAATCATTTTGGTTTCATTTCCTTCTTTTGACACTATAGACAATAATAGGTCCAAAGAATACAAACTAATACGATTTTTGGCACCATACCTATTTTTATGCCCTGAATGTGCATCTTTAAATACACACTGCTATACGAACAACCAGTCAGCAATTATACTGATTTAAGTTTCAACAGAACTGGTTTTATTCAGAACTGATGTTTCCTGAGAAATTATGTTTTAGATGAGATGTATGTTTGCAGTCTGAATTGAATGTGATGAGAATTATTACATGCATGTACAGCCAGACTTCAATTACAATGCTCCTGAATATTCTTGAAATTGTTGTGAATGTCGAAATCAAAGAACTGTTTAAATGAGCAGCGCTAATTAGTCTAATTGAGATGTGTAATTGAGATGACAGCTTACCGTCACATGTCGGCAGAGGGTGGCTCCACCAGTGGTTCTTCTCACAGACCAACTGCTCCTCGTGGCTCAGTCTGTATCCGGGCTCACAGCCAAACCACACCACCGAGCCGATGGCCAAGTCCTGCCCGTAACGTATCCCATTTACGGGCACGCCGGGGTCCAAACATGAGTGAGTGTCCAGAGTGACGCCTGTAGCACAGCAAACGTAAAATGAGAGATTATTTAATGTAATTTAAATGTACAGTTAAAGGGATTCATTTCAATTTCATTTACAGTTTCATTTTATTGTGCATTAAAAGCAAATGTATAGTTTCGGGGGGAACTATGTAAACTTACCTAAAATTGTATTATTTCATTTAATTTAATTTCATCATTTTATTTTATTTTACTTTATTTTATTTCAAATTATGTTACTGTTACTTGCTGTACCACTATCAAATTAAGCATTGTATTTGCATTGTATGCAGCTGTGCTGAAATGGTTTGACAATATGAATGCAGTTTTTTGTCAAGCCAATAAAGCATTAAATCAAAAAAAGGATGAGAAAAAGACAGAATAGGCAAGAAATACAGAATGAGAAAGAATACTACAAAGAGAAATCCTCAAGCTGTTTGCTTGTGTGGAGAGACAGATACGATTCAGGTAGAAATATCATTTCTCAGGCAAAAGGCACCCAGTCCATAAAGACGGCTGACTCACTTTCATAAAAGAGCTTAAAGCCACTGTTAGAGCGACTGTTATCGGTGGTGAAGAGAAGATACAGGAAGTTGCCGCTGCTGAACAGGAACTGAGGGACTTGGGTGCCATTTAGAGAGGCGATTAGGGGCGAGAGGAGATTAGGCCCATCGTGAACCTCTAGAAAGTCATAATTGAGTTCTGTCTGGAACCTGCCGGAAAAATAAAAAAAGAAAACAGATCAAAGAAAAGAGATAATAAAAATTACAACGTGAAATGTGTTTCTATCCACACACACACAGCTCATTACACATGGCTGCCCAACTGTTCCTCACTGACCACCTCTTTTAATGAGAAGTCACAGGCACAGCCAGTGTTCACGCTGCTGTTTATTGATGGGATCAAATGGCTTTGTGATGTGCGAATAAACACAGATCTGCCGCAGTGAGCTTGCTTTAATGGAATAGTTAAGCTAATAATGAAAATACGGTCATTTACTAACCCTCGTGCTGTTCCAAACCTGTATGGCTTTCTGTCTTCTGCAAAATAACACCTTTTACATAATGCCCTAGTTTCTCTCTTCCAAACAGTGAAAGTATATAATAATAATCAGTGTCTGAAAGCTCCAAAAATAGCATAAAAAGCACCATAAAACTATCATTTTAATTACTATAAATTATGTAAGTTGCTCATAAGACTTGCACCATATTCCAAGTCCTTTATGCACTCTGTAAATTAAATATGTAAAAAGTATAAAAGAAAAAAATCACTTAAAAATGAAAGGGGAAAAAAATCAACATAAAATCTGGCATATTGCATCTTGATGCTCCATATAGGAAATTAACATCTGAGAGCTAAAGTTAGTGGAACAATTAATTAAATAATGAATTTGTCTGTTTCTCACATAAATGACAATTGCCACATGCACTACTTTTTATGATATCTTTAATTAATGTTTTTTTTTTTGTCCACATTCTCATTCATTTCATAGAAAAGAGCATCCAGCTCATTTATCATATTATCTCCTTTTGTATTTTACGGAAGTCCTACAGGACTGGCGTGCACAAGGGTACGTAAACGATGACAGAATTTAAATGTTTTCAGTGAAAAGCCAAAGCAGAGGTGTCAACCCCACTGCCCGAGAAACACAATCTCTGCTCGCCCAATCGAGTCCTCTGCTTTTGTGATGCCTCTCGAGGCGTCCCAGGAGTCTGTTAGATCAAACTACAGATCTGATGCTATTTCAATGGCCTACTCAAGGGAAGCATTGCAGTGTAAATGAAATAAAGTCAACCATTTGTAACTAGATATAGATTAATTAAATTTCCCTTTCACAGAAGGCCTCGATGGGCACCACGCCCAGCGTTAGATTTATACGGCAAACAGCGTGCGTATGGATCAAGCTTGTCAACATAACACTATGTAATAATGTATATAGACACTAATGGTGACTGTCTCCCTTGCGCTCTAGGTCTATGTGCTATGACAAACATTACTCGGAAGCAATAGCATCCTCCAGACGTTTCTACATGTGAACTTTGCCGCGATTAGCTGAAGCATGCCAGCAGAATGTTTATTAGAACACTTAGATTCAGCAAAGAAACCTCTTCTTATCAACTGTTTTTGCAGTACCGTGTCTCTGAATGTCTTTAGAGATTTAAAAAGTTCTTGATTTAAAGGTGCTGTAAGCAATTTTTTAATAAGACGCACAAAACGCTCCTGCTACCTGACATTTCTCACTAAAATAAGTGTCTTGAGAAATCAAACCGGTGTTTGTAAACAGCAGGAAAAAAGAGCCAGGGGAGCGAGCCACACTATTTTTATCCATTCAGAAACACTTTATGCATGTCAATCAATTCGAATAATCGGTTTTGCAAAGGTTTTATTACTTTAAAAAATCTGTTAGCAAAGAGAAAATTAATTGCTAGCTAACTGTTAGCATTCCCACTTATCTCTAAGACAGTAGCACTTGGTAACTAGCCAAAAACTTCACATTTAAGAGGAAAATCTGACTCTTGTGATTGTCAGTGATTTTACCATGGTAAACGGCATGCCTGCAGAAAAAAAAAGAATAAAAAAAAACAGCTTTCTACATGTCAATCGTTTCTCAGATTCAGTTTTGCAAAAGGAAGTTTTGATACTTGAAGAAAGCGGTCTGTTATAGCTGTTAGCATAAAGAAAGCTAATTGCTAATTACCATTCATCTCTGTGCTATAGAACTCTGGCCAACTTTACACTGTCGAGGGTCTTTAGAAAATTTTGTTTGTGGAGCCGGATTTTACAGCGAGAATATATGTTATTTATGTAAACAAAAAGGCGGAAGTTAGCAAAATGGCTGCTTATAGCATCATTAATCAATAAGGTGCAGATGCCAATGTTTGGCTATGTCAAAAAAACGTATAACTACTGGTCATACTTTCGCAAGGCCATTGTATTTCCCACTAACTCATTCCTTAGGCATGAAGCAGTGGCTGTCTTACATTGATTTTACTATGGTAAAGAGCATCCCTGTTGAAAAAACTAGCCTTAACTGGCTTTCTGCATGTCAGTTGCTTCACAGACCCGTTTGGCAAAGAAGTTTTAAAACATGATGAAAGCTGTCTGTTATCTGTTAGCATAGAGAAAGCTAACTGCAAACTATTAGCATTCCCATTCATTCCTACAACAGCTGCATATGGTAACTAGCCAAAAACTTGACACTTTTTTTGAGGGTCTCTGGAGAATTTTACTCTTGATTTGTTTGTAGAGCGGTTATGAAAAAAAAACTGTATGATTTAAGTAAATAAAAGGGCGGCAATAAGAAAAATGGCTGCTTATAGCATCTTTAATCAAAAAGGTACAGATGCCAATGTTTTGGTGCATTCAAGTCCTCCTGGGAAGTTCGTATTAAGTACGAGTTAAGAAGTCGCAATTACAACATCAGTTGTTTCCAGATCACTTTGGATAGAGGAAGATGGCGATGTACCTTTTCTAGAAAAAAATAAAATAAAATAAAAATAAAAAGCACATTATAAAAAAAAAAAACTTTTTTTAACCCTACAAGATGATGAATACAAAATGATGAATAAAGAATATGCATCAGTGTGTTTTTGCTTTGTTTTTATTCAATTTATAAAGGTGCTGTAAAATCAAGTGTTATATATTCACAATTGTACAATATTGTGGAATATTGCACATGCATCTTAGCTAGTTTTATTGTAAATGAATAAGCAAAAATAATAATTCCAATAATTTCAACAAATTTACCATTTCAATACAGACACTGAATCTATTGCACCCCTCATATTTTATCACTGATATGCCCCCAACTTGGAAACTCATGGCTTAAAAATATTCTGCGTTTCCCACTCAATATTGCAACATTGTGGAGGCGTTCACTTGCATTCAACTCCTAAATATGATCTTCCGACATTACTTGAACACACCATTTGACTGTCTGGTCATACAAACTACTAACTCATCCATAAGACATTAAGCAGTGGCCATGTCTTACAGTAATTTTACCATGGTAAAGGACATCTCGGCTGTCAAAAAAAGGTAAAACCAGCCCAAGTTAGCTGGCTGATCTTAAAAGGTTTTTCAACCACTTTTTTTAGCTGGCCGAATAAGTTATTCCAATCATAAACCAGCTAAGACCACCCAATCAGCTGTTTTAGGCACTCCACTTAACTTAGTTGTTAAGACTATCCTTCACCCGAGGTCAAATCAGTGTAACATAAAGACTCTTGATTGATGCAGGTGCAGGTAAGTAATATTTTCTCATCAAAGCTGGTGTTTACTGAATGCTTTTGTACGGTTGATAGAACAACTCAGATAATAAGTGGAACTAAACCACTTTTCTACGAGTTCAAGGGATGTAATTTAGATAATTTGAATTTAATTTAAATTTAGATCTTTCCAAAAAACATCCAAAGGCTACTCAAAGGCCATTTGATAACTTTTATTCCACAGAAAAGATTAGAGGAAACAAACACTTTTGAAACCTACCTTCACATTTGGGGATCAAACCACTCCACATCACCTTTCCCGCCTCCAGTTCACACACAATAGTATCTGAGCCTTGTGTCTTTATGAAGCCCTCCTCACACACCACTGAGATGGAGCTTCCCAGCTGGAAATTATTACCAAAGCGCTTGGCATTCATAGGCACTCCGGGATCCGGGCACTCATTGTGTCCAAACGCTGAACAAATAACATCAAAGCAAAGAGCTTGTTACTTGCAACGTGACTTACTTAATGAACTGGAAAGGAAAGAGCGAATGCATAATGGAATATCAAACTGTAGGAAACGGAGGATTGTGGGTAAACACTAGGGTCCTGTACGTCGTCGCACAAGCATTTGAGGATTATTTTGGCTGAGCTAATGGTGTGATGTTCAGCGAACAGGATTAAGTTGCTTGATGCTGGTGGATAAATGGCTTATGAATTAAATCGAGGAAAATATGTCCTTCCATATGTCTTACTTGACGGCTGTTCGGAATCTGATTGAAGACAATGCTTCGCATCCCAAAGATGTTGTTAGCAAACACTAAACCTTTTAAGAGTATTAATCCTTTTATCCAAGCTTTTTTTACTCTTTTTAGTCTAGAGCAGCCTAAAATAAACACACACACACAATAAATATATATATATATATATATATGTATGTGTGTGTGTGTAAGTATATGCGCACGTGTGTGTGTTTATTGTTTACTAAACCTATTAAAAATCAAATTTGGTAATCGAAATAATGATGAAATAAAGCAAAACAAATAGTAGATGCAAAACATAAACTTAAAAAACGTAAATAAAATGCAGCTTTAAAATAGCTTTTAAAGGGGTCATATGATGCGATTTAAATTTTTCCTTTCTC